TTCAATCCGAGTACATTGACCAATCAGAAGCAAGGAACCCTACCGAAAATACCTTTTTAGTTTTATACCTGAGCAGTAGTGATACCTCTTAAAACGTATCGGAATCAAAGGTTCCCTATTCTGGGGGACTACTGTACTTACTACGTCGTAGTAGTAAAACATACTACGTAGTAGTAGTACTTGGGGTTGGAAACAGCAGTCGACACTTCGAACTTCGATACTATGTTAACCCTTCTTCCCGATAACTACATGTTGTAATCGCACTTCCAAATCAAGTAACTTACGTGTAGTACTTACTACCTACTATTGTAGCACGCCACGCCAACGACACACATCTAGTAATATGTGCATAAAATACGCTATTACATCCTATTCGTTATGTCGTCGTTAGGTGCCTTCGTCATCGTCGAGCCCTCGATAGAGGAGGTGCGGGTGGTCGGGGCCGTGGTGGGCATGGCACCAGTCACAGAGGGAAAAGTGGGCACATGTTCGGCAGAACCAATGGTCGGCGTGGGTGATGAGGAGTGCGCACTCGTGGCAAAACGTGTTGCACTGGGGCACGGACGCATTGATCATTTGGTGGAGCAGCATCATGGTCGAGTGCTTGGCGCGGCGGAGTGAGTCAAACTGGTACGATGCATGGGAGCTCATCTGGTGGAAGGCGAAGCGCGACCCGACGAACGGCGGCAGTTTCGTGGGGGGGTCCTTTGCGGGGACGACCGCTCCCTCGTTTGAACGACACAAGTCGACCTGGAGCAAGTCATCGCGCATGGCTTTCATAGCGGTTAAGAACGATGCAAACGCGTCTTTTAAGCAGGGGGGAGTCGGGGGTTCCTTGTCGCGGCGGGGCTTGTGCTTGGCCTTGAGTGCGCGGGCGATGCGGTCCAGCTCGCCCGGGATAAAGTCGCCGTCAAACAGCGGCAGCATACCCGTGCCCCCCGGCCACAGAAACGACGAGCCGCCCCCGCCGTCCCCCTTGGCCGCATCCTTCTTCCACTGCGCCGCCACATCGGCCACGTGTCGGTCGTACAGCGTCCCATACGACTGGATGATGCCGCGGGCTTGGGCCTTATCCAGTACCTGCTTGTACCACGAGCGCAGGTGGTCACCACTGGGCGTCTTTTGAAACGGCGGGTGACACCAAAATACATAACTCTGGCTACGCTGCGGCGGACACGACCAAATATACACGCGCTCCATGCCGTGGCGCCGAATGTAATCAAAGTACGACGTGAGGATGCTATGGTACACCCCCGTGCGGATACTCGCAGGCTCCATGTATCGGACGCTGTCAATGTAGGCGAGGTAGACGCTGCGTCGGTTGGGGGCGTACTCGACCGAGTCGTCGTACTCTTGCACGTACATGGCAAACAAACATACATCGACGCCGTGATGTTTCTGGAACAAAAAGATCGTCTTGGTGTTGTGCGTGAGCTTGTCGGGCACGTCTACGACCAAGTCCTCCCTCGTAGTACCATGCTGCCGCACGACGCGGGCGTTGGATTGAAACAGATGCACCATCTCCGTCGGCAGATGCGACTCTTGGCCGGTAAACGTCATAGTGCGCACACACAGCGAGTCGATGGCATCGCCGGCGGCGTCGCCCAGATTGGCCTCAAGGAACCGGCTCAGCTCGGTCTCAGGTAACGATGTGCAGTCTAGAAAGCTAGGGGGGATGCTTGACATCCGGCGAGACTGGAGCTGGCAGTGCGGACACACAAACTTGTTGGCCGTGTCGTACGCAGCTTCCACGGGGTTGAACAGCACACACACCTGGTGCATCCAGCGGCCGCAGCAGCTGCAGCACACCCACGGCTCGACGCCGACGTCCATCTTTCGCTTGACCAGCCACGCGCTCACCTCGGACGCGGTGGGCAGCGTGTTGCGCCGGCTCAGCAGCGGGTTCTGGAAGCATTCGTCGTCCTCCTGAAGGATCCGCTCCTCCTTCATGCTCTTGTTGCGGCACTTGGCGCACCATACGCGGGTGCCGTCGCGCGTGACAAAGTACGTCGACCCCTTGCGGAATGTCGTGCCGCAGTTGCCAAAGCACTGGCTGAACGGCACCAGCAGCTCGAGGCACCGCTGGTCGCACGCCGCGCACGTGTGCCCGCAGCACACATCGCACGCATGCCCTCCCGCCTTCGACTCGTCTAACTTGTCCACGCTCCATGTCTCGTTAAAGTGGGCTAGCAGCGCATCGGCGTTCACATGCACCCAGTGGTTGCGTGCGTTGAACGCCATCGCATTGGTAAACACGAGCCGGACGTCCGCCGCGATCTGTTCCGGCGACGCGTACTGCGCCGACTCGAGGCGCGCCTTGATCGTACCTAGATCCATGGGGTGCCGGACAATCGACGTGTACGTGGGCAGGTTCATCCCGACGGGGTCCACGGGGGTATTAAACACACCGCCGCAGTTGCGCGGGTGGTCCATGAGCTTTTGCAGCAACGCGCCAAAGCGGCGGAACCGACTCACGCGTCCCTCTACCTTGATGGACCGGAGATGGTCCTCGATCTGCTCCACCGACATGCCGTCGAACGGCCGGATCGGCTTGATGTCTTGCGTGAGCGGGCGCCACTTCCAGTTTTCCGGCAAGCTCGCCGATGCGCCTGTGACGTGGGATGTGGGCGGGATGTACAGGGGCCGCGGCGACGGGTCTGTCCGCGCGCGCTTCCTCGGCTTGGGCGACGCGGCAAAGTCGGCATATGCTCGGTCCAAAGTATGATGGTGCTGCTCCTGGATGGGCGATTTCGAAGCTTTCGACGAGGTCGGGAGTTCGTTGAGTAGCGGTCGGCGGCGGCGACGCGGGTCGGCGGGGGGGGGCTGCTGGCTGACCACCGAAGGGGATGATGGCACCAGCACCCTCCGCCTCGGGTCCATCGGTTGCTTGGCCTTGTCGGCATACGAAGGCGCGGCCGTATCGGTGAAGAACGAACGCTTCCCGTCCACGCTCCTACTACTTGATGTGTGCTTTGGTGTTTTGGCCTTCTTGCGGCGATGATGGGGGTCCGAGGTCGCGGGGTCGCGCTTGAGTGTCGAGCACTTCAACGTCTGCTTGAGACGATCGAGGATCACCGACTCGGCCATGCTGTGCGGCTTGACGCCTTTGTATCGTGCGAATCCGTCCGTGTCGTCGTTGGAAGGAGGCGCTGTGATGGTGGACGAAGGAGCGTCTCGGCGGCGCGAGGAGGAGGCCATGGGGTCCTTGGACATCCGCGCCGCGCGCAGTTTGCGCTCCAACGAGCGTTTCGAATCGAGCAACCCAGTAAAATGCTTCCATAAGATGTACCGCGCGACCGTCTTGGCCGTGCTGCGCCCGCGAAAGCTCCCGACAAAGTCCAGCGACCGCTCTATGAGAAAGACGACTTAGATGAGAGAATATATGGACAACGCATACAGACCAACGAGGAATTCGACGCTCGCGGGCGTCACGTTCCAATATCGCTCCTTTTGCCGCGCCAGCAGCACCGTGTACTGCGCAGATCGCTGGACGTTCATCTCTGGTGACCGGTGGAGGATGAAAGCAACATGGTGTTGCCGGTTGCCACTGTCAGTGTTCGGCGTGCGTTGATTCTTGGCGTCGTGGGAGGGTGGCGTCGCGCCGTATGTGTGTGCCTGTTCGGGGGTTGTGGGCATGTGCTCGTCGTCATCGTAAGTGCTGCGGATTCGAACGACCGACCGAACGCGAGAGGCACGGAGGTACGTCGACGGCAACTCGGTCACCACCGACAAATCGGTCGTGGGGCTAAACCCGCCGCCTTTGAGTACCATTTCCACGTCGTCGTCATCGTCCGACACCTCTGCATCCGCCAGAGGATAATCATCGTACATGGCCCAATGTTGCGTCGACGACTGCTTGTGGCAGGGAATGGTGCTTGATGGGAGCGGCTAGTACGTCACGTGACTCAATCGACCAGTTGCCTCGACGATGGCGGATGTCGCTCGGGGCAGAAGAATGGTGGCCGAGACACGTTCTTCGAGTTTTTTTCCGATAATTACACGGGGGCGATACTCGAGGTTACCTGTGAAAAAAACAAAATCACTTGATCTTTGTATCAAATAAATTCTTTTTTCGTGTCCTATGGGATTAATCAAACGGAGGAACTGTATGACCATACTGAAGCCAAGATGAATCTAGACAAGGGCAACGACCATGGATTCATCATATCCGGATGTGTTGTTATTTATCCGACTTTGATGGCAGAGCGGCTGGGTTGACAATTTACAAGCTAACCAACAGGACGACGAGCACCGAAGCCGCCATGCTTCCAACTCGCGAGGCATGGGCACCTGAGGGAAAGAGAGATAGCATTAGGAGGCCATCCCGACCTAGCTGCATGTTTGAACCCACCGCTCTTCTGCGACGCGGCCCACACTTCGACCTCGCGAATGCCATAGATTGGCCCTTGGTCTGACGCGAGCCGTCGGTTGTCGCATCGCACCGTGATGTTTGGATTGCACTGAACGGGGCTCTGGATCTCCAGTCGAAGGAAGTTGAACTTGACGGACGAATTGCTCCATGGTACGACGGTGTCGACGCGGTCCCACGCGGGAGACACGTTTTCGAACGTGTTGAACACGACAAACGTGGCGTCGTATCCCGAGTACGACGTCTTGACGGCGTACGTTTTGGCAGCCAAGTAGCCATGCCACCGCACCACGACCTTGCTGATGATTGGCGACTCTGCCGTGAAGTTGACTTGAAAGAACACGTTTTCATCGATGCTGCCGCTGGACCACCAGCTGGTCTGCATGACCAGGCCATCGATGGCATTGCCTTCAAGGTCATACAGAATGACGTACTGAAAGCAACTCGCCGCTAAAAACGTACCAGGCACGTACTTTGTGTCCAAGATCGGGTTCAGATCAAACTTGTAGTAGCTGGAAGCATGGGGTATTTGGCCCAGCGCCGCGTTGAATTCAAGGTTGGGCAAACTCACCACCGCCTCGACCCAAGGCGGAAGCAGTAGCAACAATAGAACGACACCTACCACTCCCATCGCTCCGCCACACGAATGATCAGGCATGATGGTGTGCGGCAACGACCAACTAATAATAGCCACGTGTCACCAGAACTCGTTAATGTGACCAAAACTTCATGGCAACGACTAGTACTAACAGCTAGTCATGGTTTGTATAATGCGTTGTTGGCATGTGGTATGGAGGCCGCAGGCATGGCTTTGCCTGTGGCAGAGGTCGTCGCCCGAACGATATCGTGTAATATCGTTGTACAGTAAGCTTGCTTACTATGCATGCTCAATCGAATGAGCGGTGACCAATCAAAGCCCAGAAGACGAATCAAGTGGCCAATTACAGTAAACAGTACTACGTAGTACTCTTTTCAGCCAATACGAAGGAAATTGGACGATTTTTCATACAAAAGCCAGTACATGTGCAAAGAAATCGATGGGTTTGTCCAAATTTTGGGTAAAAGGCCAACACGCAGTGGCAATGTGGGGCGATGTGATTGGTCGTCGAAAGGTTGCACCGTTTCAAGATACAATGGACAAGGGACACCCGCAGCCTCAGTCGTGGATCTGGCCAGTCGTTTCGACATCTCATCGATCCATCGATGGGAAGAAAGTCCAAAACGAAGGCGTCGTTGCTCAAGGGGCAGACGCCCCCGTCGTCCCCCAAGAAGGCCGCCGCCGAAGTAAACCCAGTTCCCGCACCAACATCGCCACGGTACGCGGATGTCATTCCAGCGTCGCCCACGTATGGCTCTGGCCAGCCATTGCTTCACGTCCGACGCAATGCGTACTTCGAAGCGGACCGCAAGTGCCACGATGTCTTGTGTATGTGAATCAGTTCCACTACTACCCCTACACTTGCCCGTCTGACGCTGTGGCAGGCGGCGTGCTCTTTGGTTTGTTTTGGATTGGCATGGTCGCCATTTCCCTCGTGGCGTACAAGGTATGGGCGATCATACACCACCACCTTCAATGATGGAATCGCTCACACGATCCGATGTTCTATCCGCAGCATGGCGACATGAATGGTTTGGTCTATCCAATGGATCACTTTGGTGCGTGGCGCTCTTGACACCCTAGCCCTACTTAACTCGAGGGATAGGGCACCTGTGCACTGAAGCGACGCCGTTTGCGTACTACCCGCATCCGAGCTTGGACATCAAAGTGGGTGTACGCATCACACTTCGCCACTGAACGACACACATATGACACACATCGTTTGTAGAGCCCATACTACTATGGCATTTGTGTTGCCACGTGCCCCGCCCAAGGCGAGTTTGTGAACGGCATGAAGGTCAAGTACGACACCACCGACGTGTTCCACCGGTGTGTGCCGTCCAACCTCACGGCAGTCGGCGCTGACGTCGCCGAGGAATACGCGACCATCTTGGGCAAAGCCACGACAACGTTCAAACTGCTGTCTCGGTACATCGAAGACATCCGGAAGACATGGAAACCCGTCGTGGGCGTCAGCTGCGGCGTGGGGTTTGCCGGGTCGGTGATGTGGCTCGGAGTGCTCCGGCTGTACCCAGGCACGGCGGTGTGGGGCAGTCTGTTTGTGACGATGCTGGCGCTCGTGCTGGCGACCGTTGTGTCGGCCCTCGAAGCGCACTACATCCAAAGCGACGCGTTTACCGCCGCCGTCGACGATTCGTTTGTACTTCAGCTCGGCAACGACAACGAAAAGTCGTTCCGAGTCGTCACGGTGGTCCTGGGGTTCGTCACGCTCGTACTGGTACTCGTGCTCGCGTTTATGTTTTCCCGAATTCGGTTGTCGGTGGGCATCATTCACGAAGCCAGCCGTAGCATTGCGGTACGTGGATGAGTTGTGGCTCTTGGATCAACGTATTGACGACGGGATACAAATGATTATGTAGTACATGCCCACGCTGTATGGAATTCCCGTGGTGCAAACCACCAAACTTCTGATTCTGTTCGTGTACTTTGTCGTGTCGTGCATGTACATTGCCAGCTGCGGTAACATTTCCCTCGCCGACTTACGTGGCGCGTTCTCCCGCCACGACGGAAAGGCGCACGTGCAGGCCATCCAAGCGGCGGTGCCGGCTTTGGCCACCGAGTATGGCAACGGCACGACCCAGGGCTCCAACTGGATGAAGGCGTGCTTTGCGTACAACCTGTTTGGGATCTTCTGGACCCAGCAACTCATCGAAGCGGTCACGGTGTGCACGATAGCCGGTGCCATTGCCCGGTTCTACTGGTGCGACTCGACCGACCAACTGGGCTTTGCCGTCGTGTACGAGCGATATATATTCGAAACGTGTTGATATATTACGAACGATCTAACTTGACTTATTAGAAAATCGTATGGGCACAGCTTTCGGTACCACTTTGGGTCGCTGGTGTTTGGTTCGGCGGTGGTGGCCGTGGTTCAGTACTTCCGCGTGGCACTGGAATATGTGGACCACCAGACAAAGCACACGCAGAAGTACTCGGTGGTGAAAGTCGTGACCTGCTGCTGCCGCACGTGCCTGTGGTGCCTGCACACGTTTATCAAGTTTGTCAGTCGCAATGGGTACATTGTAATCGCCATGAAGGGGTCGTCGTTCTGTGTGGCGGTCGTCGATTCGTTCCATCTCGTGACCGCCAACCTGTTGCGCATTGGGACGTTGTCGATCGTGGCAGCGTTTGTGATGGTCATGGGCAAGGTGCTCATCTCCGTGGGATGCACGATGCTCGTGTTCTGGTACATGACTGCGCAGACGGTGGACGTGTCGAGCCCGTTTCCGCCGCTCGTGGTCACGCTCATCCTGTCGTACTCGGTCGCTTCGCAGTTCTTTGGCGTGTTTGAAATCGCCATCGACACAATCCTCCTTAGCATCTGCGAAGACGAAAAGATCAATCGCAGCACCGCCCAGTACTACGCGTCCAAGCACATTCGAGCGTATCTGGACCATACGGCCGAGCACGCGTTCGACCACCACAAGCACATTGAAGCAGCCAAGCGGACCGACGTCATGGTGTAAATGTAGCCAAGTTGAGTTACTCAAATTGTCCGATATGTTGGAATAGCTATGGATATATTGACATGTAAGAGCGTTAATTGAATTGAACCCTCTAAGTACGACCGTTTCAAACTGGATCCGCTGTCGTTTTGGTTTTTTCGACATGCAGTGCGACTTCTAGCGACATGAGCAACAACAACGACGACGGAGCTCCAGCGGCATTGTCGACAGCGACTAGTCCGTCGGTGAAGATCGAGGGCTACCTGTTCATCCGCATCTTCAAGCGGCGACGGCGCTATTGCGTCCTGACTGGTCGAACGCTGTGCATTTTTGGCTCCAAGGATGAGGCTGCCGCCGTGGACAAGGCACAAGCTGCGCGCGCATCGTGCTGCGTCGTGGGGGTCAAGGACTTGTCCGACTTGGACAAAGGCACGAAGGAGACGTTGGTGGGTACGGCGTCGTTTCAGAACGCGCTCATTGTGTCCACGCTCAAATCCAAGTTGATTGTCGTCGAAGCCGACACCAAGACCGAGAAGGACCGATGGCTGCATGCGATGATGTCGCTCAACTATTGCACCGACGACGCGGAGCGGGATGTCGTCCGCGACAGCCTCAACCAGCCCGATTTCGACGCCCAGCGTGCTGTCACGTACGATCCACAGGGCAAGTTGTCACATCTCTCACGTTCCCATTGCTCTAGGCTACTGTACAAGTACCGGGACAATGCTGTAGCCATGGACCTCATCGTGGGCCATCTGTCGCAGTATGCGCAATCCAACATTGACGACGTACGTGCCCCAACTTCCAACGCATGTATGACTAATATTCGTTTAGGTCGAGTTTTACCTCCAGCAAATCGTGCACTTGCTCGTGCATTCGTGTGACGCTGTTCGAAACAAAGACAAACTCGTGGATGCGGTGCTGTCTATCTGCAAAGCCAAGACGTACACGGCGCACCTGGGCAACTCGATCCATGTAGCGCTTCACTTGTTCTGGCTACTTGAAGCCATGCTCCACGACTGCCATGGCACAGCCACGTACAACATCGTGGCCATGCTCATCATGTCCATCGAAGCGCAAGTGGTGAACCAGCACTTTGAGCTGCGGGACCTCGTCCGGCTCTTTCACGACGTCCCAGGTCTCAAACAGTCGATCCTGCGACCTGTCGCAGATGCCAAACACGACGAGACGCGCGCGGCGCAACCGACGCCATTACCCTCGTCATCCAACGGCCCCGTGTCACATGACACTATCACGACCGTGGCCACCTTGTCCGAGGCCGAGAAGACCACGCTGCTTGCGTGGATCGAAGCCGAACGCCTAAAACGGTACAAGTACTTTCACCAAGAACGCGACTTTATCGTCGCCCTCGCCGGCATCTCGGAAACCATGCGGCACATGGAGCCGCGGGAAAGTCGCAAGGCGGCACTGCCGGGCCTGCTGGCCCGTCTCGTCATTCCCGACATGGCGTACATCCCACTGGGCCGCGCGTCGGACCCGTACTGCCGCGTGCTCAGGGTGCTCGAGGCCGAAGGGACCGTGTTCTCAACCCACAGCCGCGCCCCAGTGCTCATTTGCTTTGAAGTGGTCCAAGAAGCGTCACCCCCTCGTGCGGCGACTGGCTGCACGTCCCAAGCGGCCACGTATGACCAAGACACACTCGAGTGTATCCAAGCGACGTACGCGGCGCTCTTCTTCCGGTCGGCGTCTTGCGACCTCACAACCGACGACAACCCGCCGCCAGAGGACGCCGTGTCGTTGGCGTCCATCAAGGACATAGTGGACCAGAACATCCAGGCGACGATCATGCGGCGCACGTCCAAGACAGCGTACGACATGAGTCTGGCCAAACTCATGGAGCCCACGGTCTTTGGCGAGAGCTGGGCCGCGAAGAAGGTAATAAATACATCACACACCCGAGCCCATTCTTGCTACCAAGTAAATAGCCCATCGTCGTGACTGTAGAAGCGGCTGCAAGTGGCGTCGCCGTACGGCCACCTGCGCGGGTGGAACGTCGTGTCGCTGGTATGTCGTTCGTGTACTGTATGTAGGTCGACGAAAAGTGGGGGGATGGAGGGATTCATTCGTGTCATTGTAGATCTCGAAAAGCCACGACGACATGCGGCAAGAAGTGTTTGTGTTGCAGTTGATTGCCCAGATCCAAGGCATTTTTCGCGACGCGCATCTGCCGCTGTGGCTTCGAGCGTACCGCATCGTCTCGACGGGCCATTCCACGGGGCTCATTGAAACCATCACGGACGCGCAGTCGCTTGATGCGATCAAAAAGTCCAAGCCCTCCACCTCCCTAAAGGATCACTTTGACCAGACGTACCCCGCGCCGGCCGCCCGCGACCTCGCGACGCTCAACTTTATGCACAGCCTCGTCGGATACTCGCTCGTGTGCTACATCTTGCAAGTCAAGGACCGACACAACGGCAACATCCTGTTGGATTCAGAAGGACATGTGATCCACATTGACTTTGGCTTCGTCCTTGGGATTGCGCCCGGGGGAGGATGGAGTCTCGAGAGCCAGCCCCCGTTCAAACTCACCAAGGACATGGTCGACGTCCTTGGCGGCGTCGCCTCGCCCCTCTTTGCCCAGTTTGTCGAGCTGTTCACGCACGGGTTTCTGGCGCTGCAGGTACGATATACATAGTGGGGGAGTAGGTATGTTAGTGTCCATTACTTCAGTAGTACTCTGTGGTGATTATTATCACATTAATTCCATGTCGGTTGATTTTGGTTTCCTGCAATCTGATTGGCTCAATTCTTCTGCCGATTTTTCTTGTGTACGTCCATATATTTGGTTGTGTCGATTCCAAATCAACAGTATAATCGATGCTATTGGCTAATAATCCAATTTTGAGTGGATTTGATTGGCTCTTACAGAAAACACAAGTATAGTCAGCCAATCACAACTCCAGCGTGATTCGATGTTATTCGGCAAACCAACCGAATTTTTGGAAATATATAGCGAATTCACAATCTATATGTAGCGGAATGCAGAAAAGATCATCACGATGGTCGAAATCATGATGCACAAGGCAACATATCCGTGCTTTCAGAACCGGGACGTGGTCAAGGACTTGCAAAAGCTCCGCGATCGGTTCGTGGAGACGCTGCCGATGGACGACACGGTCGAGCACGCAGTCAAGTTGGTCAAGCTCAGCTACAAGAACAAGTGGACGAAGCGCTACGACCAGTTTCAGAAAATCACCAACGGCATCCTGCCTTAACCCGTCACTTTCGATTCCAGCTTATACACGATTAAACCTAGGACCGAGCTTTCTTGGAGTTGGTTGTTGCCCCGTCGTCAAATTCGAATTGGGAGAGCCGCAGCCCGTCCAGATCGTCCACCGCCCCGTCGTCGTTGGTGGTAGTAGTACTACTAGTAGTAGTAGTACTAGTGTTGCCATACACATCCAAGGCCCGTTTGCGATTGGTACTGGCAGAATCGTCTTGAAATCGTGGGGGATGCGGCATGGACGGAGACGACAGCGTGTTGGTCGGGAGGGGGCGGTGAAAGGTAGTACCCCCTCCCCCCCCTCCTCGTGGTATGGACTTGGCGGATGCACTGTCGACATATGTTGCAGACGAGGATGGGTGCATTGTACCCGCCCCTTGTTGGTGGTTACCAGTGTTGGAATACCCGGGAGCTGGCGGAGGTTGGTGGCTCCAACTGTGCACTGGTGGCGCAACCATTTGCTGTCCACGAGATGAAGAGTCGGCTGCGCGCGTCGGAGGAAAAGGGATGGACTTGGGCTCGGCTTTGATGACTGGATTTGGGGGGGGCACCGCCGGTCGATGGGGAAGGGAAGGATGGGAGTTGTTGGGGGTGGTTAAGCCATACGAATTGACGGGATTCGTGGAGCCGTGGCCCATAGGCACAGGGGGCGTATGCCCTACGTTGTTGCTGCCGGCTGGTGGGACGATGCCTCCTGAGACTGCCGGAGTTCGGGGAGGTGGTTGAAACTGCGGCGCACTTGGAGTGGTAGTAGTAGTGGGCTAGCATGTGACGATGAAATAGGGGGGAAATAGTTGTATGTGTACAGGTAGACGACGAGGGGGGGGATGCAGGGGGGGTGTATGGGGGGTCCCCGTCGACGCCATGTTCGTGTGTCCATTTTCAATCTTGATGGCAGTGGGCGACTGCAGATTCGACTGGTTGGCCTAAATATGTATCGGCATGAAAGCCCAGACATCGCACACAACACCATGGGATATGTACACACACACGTACTCGGTTCGCAGCGACGTCCTTAATGTGCTAGAATGCTTGTGATGTGTCGAAAGTGACATATGGACCGAAGGAGCAGCACACGTACTTCCTTGTCGTAGCACGAGTTTCCCAAGTATTCGCCAAACAAACGCAAAGCACGCTTCCGGGCGTCAGAAATACTTGCCTATGACAACGTTGCATGCGGCGGACGAGATAGGTTGGTAGCATCGATGCGACGGATATACCTTTTTAGCTTGTTCGAGGGCAGCGCCTAGGTCCTTCATCCCGTCGCTCGTACCAAACCCGACGTCCTCATGACTTGATCCGTCCTTGAGTTCGATACGCACGACAGAGCTGTAGATGATGCTCCACCTCCCGTCGTCGCTCTTCTCCTTCTATTGTCGTCCCCCCATTGCATCAGCACATACCAGGATCGAATGCAAACGTACGCATTCCACGTTGCAATCTATGATGCGACAGCTCCATCCGTTGAATCCAAACGCTTCGTTTGCAATTTCAATGGCCTTGCAGCTCTCGAGGTAGGTCAAGCGCCGTCCACCGGGGCCGGGTCGTCGCGACAACACGTTCGAGTTCAGCTTCTGCCGAAGGTACGCATCTGTTCTCTGCTGGTCGTCTGGGTTGAATGGGATGGTGCCGAATATGGAGTTCGTTTCCCGTTTCCCAAACATGGGCCTTTCTTCGGAGCTAGCTGACGGCGGCGGCGGCGCCGAGTTGGCGCAAGTTTGTAAATCCAACAATATTCAAATTTAAGGCGCGCCGATTGGCTATTTATTAAACTCCAGTGTCCAATCAAACGATCAAAAGAATTTCTATTTTAACCAATCATAGATCTAGTTTCAGTGTTTTTGAGAATACAGCGCCAACTGCCGATGCAGGTCCAGCTTGCTAAACACGACTTGAGTCTCGTTCGCTGCAACCAAGATGCACGTCAGAGGGAGGTAGTCATCCTGCCGTGAGGGAAGGGAGGAACGGCGGCGTACCGTGGAGGGGTTCGTGTACGAAGATGCGGATTTGCCCCGTGCGTTGGCGCTTGACTTCCTTTTGGCGGCCTTGAAAGTAATGATCGTGCTCGCGCTTGTCACCTGCCCGAACTAGTTCACGCTGCTTAGCATCAACTGCACGTACGTAGGTAGGTTCATCGAGTCGCCACGTACTCGGACGAGGTTGCTTGCGAGGTCGGGCTGGTTGGCTGGGTGTTTGCAGTGCCTGGAGTATATATATATATATGGTGTCAGCTCGATGTGGCGATTTCAATCGATGATGTAAGTACAGACTTGATCTGTGGCTTTTCGCAGTTGGACTTGCTTCTTCGCCTGCAACTCCCCTTGCTCGACAAACTGCCGCAGCCACCACTACGTGTATGCACAGAATAAGTTATATCGACAATCCAACTACTACTATGAGAAAACATTGGGTCGAGGCGAGTAGAGTACGCATGAAGCCACGAACCTTGGAGTCGACGGTGCGCAATTTGGACTTGGACCTGGCTAAGCACTGATGAAGGAGGTCGTCTGTCCACACCAAGTTGTCCCTGAGTTCGTAATCACGTCCTTTATACAAGTACGGGTCGATGGCTCTCCGGAGGCCGCCGTAGGGACCTGCAAAGAGCGCACCGGGATCGTCATGGAGTCGCATGAACTGGTGGACATGCAATTCGTGGGCAAAGGGTTTCACTGACGTGAGAAACCGACTTTCGATCCACACGTGGATCGTGTGCAGTCCTTCGTCTTGAAGCGAAATGTCTTGGACGTAGTACACGCCGTCCTTGAAGTGCGCTGGGATCTTTTCGTCCAGCACGATCCCTTGGCTCGAGGAGATCTTTATCCGCAGCGATGCTCGCGATGCAGGTTTCAAGGCCTTGCTCGACGTGTGTCCGTTCTTCGCACTGCCGTGCACCTTGATGCAGAACCCGAGGTAGCTATACAGTACGTGGTCGTTCGTTCGTCAAGGTCAGACTCATATGGCAAGGGAAGGATGTGGAAGCCATGGGCCGTACCGGAAGAACGCGTAGCGAAGGGGTATTCTCGTCGGCAGCAGCTCTGCCCACTTGTCCTCGACATGGATGATCTCATGCTCGTACGACATCGGCCGTGGTCCCAGTACTTGGTCCACAAATTGCACGCGATTATGCAGATTTGAATTCTAAACACCAACGACGCCACACCTCTACAAGTGCATATATCAAAATATCGAATGTGGGAGAAATCCAACCCAGCCCTTGAGTTTCAACCTTGCCTGCCCCGTTGACTCACGACGACGACGGCTTGATAGCGCGGAGGAGCGGCGCGTATCATACCTATATCATATCGTCCTAGGCGTTATGGCATCTGCAGATGAGAAGATGGATCTTTCCAAGCGGAAGATTCCACGCAAGACGTTGAACGAACAACTCCCTACGCGAACGCGGTCGCGAGGCAAAGAAAAACCAGTGGACGTCGCGACAAGTGCGAGTACTCGAAGCGACGGCGTGACGCCACCGCGGTCGCGAAGCACGCCCGGCAAGGAGCGCACCTCGTCGTCGTTGTTGAATGCGCCGCCTCGCACATTCTCCACCGCTCTGTCGTCGGCCAAGTTGTTGCCCGTGGAGCAGGAGCAGCAGCTCCAGGCGATGCTGACCTCGAATCGCTTCGAAGATGCAGCGACATGGATCAGCGGATCCACGTACTTGTCCGAAAAGTACCAGCTCGCGGACGTCGTGCGCTTGGTGCTGGACAATCGCCAGTTCGACCTGGCAGGTCGGCTCATTCGCGAGCACAAGCTAGCCGAGAACCAGCAACTGGTGACGTATTTCGTCATGGAACTCGTCCGCAGCGGCCGCTTCCACCTCGCCGTGCGATACGCGCAGGAGCTGGTTCCGCACTTCAACGCCCCCGTCGTCGACCCTTCGACCCGCCCCATGTGGACGCCCAGCACGCTGGTCAAGGCCATGATCCGTGTGCAGCAGTACAAGCCCGCGCTCAAGTACACGCTGCAATTCCACTTGGAAGGCGAATTCCCCGTCAAGAAGTTTGTCCAAGGGATGCTCCATGAAAAGACATGGCTCGACGCGTTTACCGTGATCCTGGTATGCACCGTACACCGACCTACTTTTGTATCATGTTGGCATATTTGTGTAGTTTTTTACTCACTTTTGTATCATGTTGACCCATTTTTGTAGCAAGTTGTCATATTTTGACCCCTTTTTGTATCAATTGACTCCTTGTGGGAGCATTTTAGCGTATTTCTGTCCTTTTTTGGATCATTTTGTCATATTTTTGAATCCTGTGATTGTGATTCGAATCATGTCGGTGTAGGAACACAAATTAGAGACTGCGTTCTCTCTGGACAACCTGATCGACAACCTCCTGGGCGAGCAGCAATGGTCAGCTGCCATCAAGTGCGTGAAAATGGCCAAGCGAACCGCCGTGTACACGGGGCCGGTGCTCGTGCGCCACATGATTCAAAGCGGCGACTTCCTCTCGACGTTGCACTACCTCAAGGCGTTCGACTTGACTGGCGACGTGGCCTTGGTGCGCCACATGCTCGACTTTATGTGCCGGTACGGAGAACTGTACAAAGCGCTCAAGTACTCGGTCAAGTTTGGACTGGCGGCGGAACCAGCGTACGACCCGCGCCGCCTCATCGATATGGCCATCGACCGTCGCCAATTCCACGTCGCGCAGCTGTACATCAAGCGCCTCAAGCTGGACGACCTGTATCAGGACGATCTGCGGCACATTGCGCACGAGAAGGACCATCTGGCGGCGTCCTTCCGCGCGCTCATGGCCGAGAAACGCCAGCGCCAACTCTCCCCCGACGTCCAAGCCCGGATGCAAGCCTGCCTCGGAGACCTCTACGAGCCACCATCTGACGAAGAACGCGACGTGGTCGTGTCTGTGCACGAGCAAGTGTTCGCCAAGAAGCAACCCAAAGAGACGACCCCGTCGTCGCTGCTCGAACGCCTCCGACAGTTCAAAGTAGACGATAAACAGCAGCTGCCCAGTGGAGGCAGTCGGGTCTTCTTGACGTCGTTCCCAGCCCAAAACGCCTTCCACTCTGAAGGCACATTGGACCAATCCTTTGCCGACGTCGACCGCGCGTTTGCGTACCCTTCGCCCCCGCCGGCATCTCTCCCTGCCTTCTCCCCGCCGCTTCCGCCATCGCAGCAGCCCCCACAATACACCCCCCCGCCGCCCCCCATCCACCGCCACCAGTTCTACATGCCGCCCCCTCCCCCGCTGCCTTCCCAACCACCCCCGCCACACCCATCGACCTCGTTCGCGCCGTCGTCTTTTGCACCACCGCCCCCTACTCCATTTTACGGGTACCAACCCCCTCCCATCACGTCGTCCGTGGCGTCGCTCGCCATGCAATTCCACGTGCACCACCCCCTTCCCCCTCCCCCCCCTCCTCCATTGCCTCGACAGACCCACCGGTCGTTTGTGCCCAGCTTGAGCTTAAAACCATCGCCCGTTGGCCCCAAGCAGCACCAGTAGTACCATCACCCCCACCAGCAGTTGCATAACATACTCACACACTTAGACCATTCAAACCTATACTTTTAGACTTGCTGGGGACGATGCTGATTGGCCATTCACATCTCTTGAAACTTATCCAACCTCACACCTTGGCTTTCAAATTGCGTGGAATGTCCTGGATCGCCTTGCCTCGAATCGAATACAGACGCTCCGCTCGTTGCTCCAGCGTGCCTCTATATATCATCACATGTCAATATATATATCGAATAGATGCCATGTTTACCCGCATTTGAGCCCGCGATGCTTCAACTCGTGTTTGAGTTTGTCCATACCCAGTGCTTTCAACGCATCGATCGATTCAAATGCCATCAAGTCTTCCAACATATTCACTTGCACGGGGGATACCGCAAGACGAGGAGAAGCAGATGGGGCTGGTTCTTGATCGAGTAAGATGTCTGTTAAAAGAGATGGCGCGTCGACTTCTGGCGCCGCTGCATCATGTACCGGCGGGGGGGGGGTCTTTTCCTCTTCGGAGTTTGATGATATGGCTTGCTCTGTTGGCACTAGTGACGTTGCCGCTTTTGTACCTACGTCCACCAGCGCGTCCAAGACGGGGGTACAGTCGGTCGGTTTGTAGTGAAACGAGCGGTCGCCAATGTTGACTCGGATGCGCTCGTTCGTTTCCAGGCTAAACGCGGGAAAGACGCCGCCTGGGTGCATGCTGGTCGCGTCCGTGGCGTGGACATCCGTGAACGCCACCCCCAACGACGTACCGTTGAGTGCAAACTCAATCGTGCCAGCGTCAATGTCCACAGAGCACCCGACCACGTCCCCCGCCGCCCACTTGGCCCCGTACGCGGCCGACTCGCCGCCAGTCCACTTGACCTGGCGGCATCCATCGTACGCCCATGACGCCATGTGGTCGCCGACGCCGTCGCCTTCGTCCTCGTCCGCTTCAAACGTGGCGTCAGCCCACCCCACCTGAATCACACCGGCCGACAACAGCTCCACTTCGTAGTACCTACTCACATATATATATATTGCCAAGTCGATTATTCGAAATTAGAGTGGAAGGGGGGGTCAATCGAATGAGCAGAATAACCAAATCGAAAAAATCAACCAATCAAAACACAGATCACGAATCAAGTAGCCAATCAAATCCAGTCTTCGACCCCTTCAAATCAATGTGTGATTAAAATTAGTGTATGACTAAAATTAGTGTGAAAATGTTTACATACAAAAGTCAGGACAAACAATCGATCGATAGATTTGGCGAATAGCACAAAAGTCCAAAGTTTGGGTAAAATAACAATATATACATATATATATAGATGAAAACGATCCCGTCACAATAGGGTATTGTTGTGTTTATTCTACATGTACATATAAATTGAGCCAATCAGATTGCAAAGGAAACCAGGATCATCATCACCATCTAATTAGTGTGTGTGACTTCAATTAGTGTGATACCAATCACCGCAACACTATAAAAAATTGAGCACAATGAATCAATCGACAGATTTGGCGAATCACCCACATTTGGGGTACAAGGACAATACCATTTCCCGCGATGCAAAGCGCACCCAAACACAGTTGCGGTGCCGAACGATCCGCGGCCTTCCACGGTCGCATTCTCCTCGGCCGTCGATTGCTTCACATGGACGTTGCCGTTCAACGGGACGAGCCAGCTCCCGGCGACAGACGACACGCCGCCGCCCCACTTGGCGTCACCGGGAGTAAACACCATCTTGGCCTGCAGCTCGGCCTTGATGGCGTCCTGCGACGCCTGGAGCGTCTTACGCTGTCGCAGACCTGCTAGAAACGCATCGTTCACGTCGGCTTCCAGCGCGGCGGGGGCGATCGCGTGGACGTACTGGTCCCGCTTCAGGTCCTTTTCTCGCAGACTTTTCTCCTTTTGCTCCTTCTTGTACAGCGTCAATTCCTCGCCGCGCAGTTCGAGCTCGCCGTGCGCGTAATTGCAGTTGCGGCCGCGCGGGCATCCCCAGTCGCGACGTGCATTCGGCGGCGGCGTCGCGCGCGCGCGCGCTTGGATCCAACTCGTGCACATGATCGTCTTCCGCTTGCGCTTCATGCGAGTGGACGCCTTCTTCCCAAACCCTTCGGCCCACGATGGAGTGTTCAAGTGCCATCCGGCAATGCCGCTGGGGGTTTCTTCCACGGGCAGTTCGCGGTCTTCGATGCCGTCCTTTTTGCGTTGCGCGCGAAGCCCTTCCTCTTCGTTCCACTTCTGGATGGCGATTTCCTGATTGACGTGGCGCAAGCGACGACCGCTGAGGTCGCGGCACGAGCCAAAGTCCCGCGTCGCCTTGGCACCTGCGCCTTTCCCTTGACTTCGAAGCATGGCACCGAACCCGCCCTTTCCGCCCAACAAACCCCGACCGCACACAGCGCGTAGCACATTTGGGGCATGGGGAACCCCACATGTGTCGTCAAGGAGCGTCATGCCGTGCAGGAGTTGTACCAGGTCGAACGGAACATTTGTCTGCGCCTACGTCAATGTTGGCATCATATCGACACGCATGTACAAATGTACATACATTGAGCTGGGCTTTAACATGATTGCCAGTCACATCAGCATGGTCGAAAGAAAGGCACACCGTTGAGCGCTGCGGAAGCAGCTCTACCACAACTTGCACTCGCATGAGGATATCTCGTCGCAGCCTTGGAAACTGTGGAAATTGCACTCGCACACCGGATACGGATTGCTTTTATCCGGAAACCCAATTTTTGGGTTTGCGCGCTCACTTACCGGTACAACTTCGCCGCGATCGAGCTTGGAGGGATGTGGGTGCTGGAAGTCGAGTCCGAGTCCATGTCCCTGCACTTGGTTCAAGGAGAATGGAGCCTTGGTCGCAGCGGAAACGTCTTCAACTTTCCCAAGGACAAGTCCATATCGCGCAACCATGCAGAGTTCCTCGTCGGCGGCATTTTGGATCTGGAAAACGTCGCGGAGCTGCCATCGTTTGTCCTTGTCGACAAGAAATCCCGCTTCGGAACGTACCTCAACGACGTGCAGATCAGTCCCAACACACCCATGCCCCTTCGTGCGGGGGACAAAGTCTCGTTTGGCGCGAAAACAACCATCCTTCGTGTGCGGTACTTCAAGATGGTACTGTACCACCGTGGACACCATGTCCCAACGCTCATCACGTCCTTCTAGGTTGCGAGGACGTCGCGCATCCAAAAGATGAACCGCAAGATGCTCTTGGATGGATGCAAAGCCATCGGGATGCACGTCGTGACTGCGGCTGTCGACGACGTCAACTACTGTATCACGGACCCGGGCAAGTTTGTTGCAACGGAAAAGGTGTTGTGGGCAATGGCACACAACCACCCTATTGTCGCGTCTGAGTGGGTTCAAGCGATCTTGCGGCGCAAGTCCATGGCCGAAGAATTGCCGCCTTGCGACAAGTTCCTTCCCCAGCACGACGCGTCATCGTCGTCCTCCACCGAGGTAGTCCCCCGTTTCTCCCCATCATTCCGCAACTCATCGCGCTCCTACCCAGGAAAGACACCAGCCGTCTTATGCATCCGACCCGCGCCGTTTCTCGCTCTTTAGCAACTACCTCGTGGTGTTCCTGACATCGTCGTCCATGGAAGCGCTTGTACCTGTCATGGGGGGCCAAGTGTACGCCGCGTATAACGCTCCCGACAACGACGAACAGCTGGTCGAGCACCTTGGCAAATCCATCAAGGACCACGTGTTGATTGTGTATCCCATCGGGACGTCGGGCGGCGATGGCGGCGCGTCGGAGAAGCAGCAGCTGCCTCCGTCCGTCCCACAGACCAAGCAAACGTCGTCCTCGTTGCAGTCACGGCCGTCGGTGGTCGGGCACCCGTCGGAATGGAACAATCCCGCGCTACTTCGGCGCGTCCAACGTCTCCACGCCGCGCACTTGGCCTACATCCTCCATCAAGAACTGGCGGCCAGCATCATCTTTACCAAACCCCCCACGACCATGACCGATGAAACCGTGTCGCAGATGTTGCTACAGCATGCCTCTTCCGAACGATTTGAGGCCGACGACGACACGAATCAGTCGGTGGACGAGACGCCGCTACGGCTTGGACACGCATACGTGCCCCAAGCGGTGGAACTGCCGACTGGGGCACCTCTGTCGACCAGCGACGGTACGATGACGCCCGCTGCAAACACGACAAGAAGCATGGACCTCCCTGTGGTCGAACGCAGTACATTTAACCTGGTGAATGCGACTGCTAGTGACGCTCTGGACCAGCAGCACACTCCACGTCATGACGACTGGGTGGACGCTACGCTTTGCTCGTCCAAGGTACTTTATAGCAGGCGGCTATGTGCAGGTCCTGTATCGTTTGCTGGTTGTAGGTTGGAAGGGATAGCGTAACGGGCGACTTCAAGCCGGTATACACTGCCGTGGAGCAAACCCTCCGCCCACTTCGAGTGGAAGGCTCCAGCGACGAGGAACCTCCTGTGCCCCAAGCCCATCAAAACCCTCAAGCAGCGTTGGTTGGTACATGTACACTTGGTGTCGGCCATCCCGTCTTACGGACCAGCTCTCCTGTTGGGTCAGACTGGCGGCGGAAACCGTTCAAGCGCCTATATGGCGACCGGCAACCACGTGCTGACCCACCGACCCACGACGAAGCCGATCCAGCATGCATTGGGGCGACGGTGGTGTATGACACGCTGGTCGTACGCCGGTCATCGCCCCATGACGAAGAACGAGATGGGATGACCCATGTCCGGTACCTGCCTCGATATGCCGCCGCTGTCCCATCGCCTCTTCCTTCTTCTGCATCGACCCATGCAAAGACGTTCCGAAAGGCGCACGTGGTCACCATGTCGTCCCGCCGCCGACTCATCACGCACTTTACCAACGTCGTGCCAGTCAATTTGGAGCGTCGGCGGGAAATCGCCAAGGAAGACGACGAGCTCGAAGCCCGCGAACGAATTGCCGAAGCGCTGTTTGTGTCGGCCATGCCCTGCCCCAACAAGATACGAAAGCGCCGGTAGCATCTCTATCCTACTAACTACTAACTACTACTACTAACTACTACGAGATTGCAGCGATATACTACTATTAATAGTACAATGGGAGCGTGTAGTACTATTATGAATAATAGTAAGTTAGTAGGAACTATTAATAGTACTCCGCCTCCTCCTACTAACTACTACTACTAACTCCTTCTACTAACCCCTACTAACGAGATTGCAGCGATATACTACTAGTACAATCGGTGCGTGTAGTACTAGTAAGTTAGTAGGAACTAGTACAGTAGTAAGTATCCCACGTACGTATCCATCATAACGTTACTAGCCATGTTGCTGTTGTTGTATGGCAAAAGGACAAACGGCGATAGATTGGGTCAATTGAACAAGATCTGCTTGGCCACTTGCATGGTTTGTCCATGCAGTTGCTCGATGGACAGTTCGTTGGCGGCTTGCGTACATTTGTCGAGGGCCGAGTCTTCATTGGATGCTGCCGCCGTCTTGAGCGTGTCGGGCACATAGTATCCAAAGTTCATGCGAGCTACAACATTGTCACAGGTGGTGGTTGGGATATCCAGATAACATTGTCACAGGTGGTTGAGGTATCGAGATAACATTGTCACAGTTGGTTGGGGTATCGAAAAGTCGATTCGAAAAAAATTGGAGTGTTTGGGGGTTCAATCGAATGAGCAGAATCACCAAATCGGCAGACAAGTATCATATCGATCGACCAATCAAAACCCACAACGCGAATCAAGTGACCAATCAAAACCACACTGCAAACAATTCAACCTTGAATTGGTGTGTGACTGAAATTAGTGTGACACTGGATGATCTTGACATACAAAAGTCAGGACAAAAAGTAATCGATATATCGATAGATTTGGCAAAAAATCAGCCAAATTTGGGGTAAAAGGACAATCACATCGTCAGGGACGTACACGAGTAGCCCTTGGCGTTGCCCACGGAAGCCTCGCATCCGTCCAACTTGGTTGCAAGCCCCCCAATGCGCTCAGAAAATCGCTCGCGGTTCTCCCGCTCCAGCGTCGGCGTCGAGCTCAACGTCCGCATCCACAGGAACTTTTCACTGAGTACCCCCAGCACATTTGCGCCCAGTGTACTCATAAAGTACTCAATCTCCAACGCATAGTACCTAATCACAAACAAACGGGTGGAATCGTCGCCAACGAGTACTTGGGTACAATACCGATTCCAGCAACTGCCCCAGCGTTCGACACGCGCCGTATCGTCGGTGACGATCTGGCCGTCGGGGGTTTCGTTGACCGGCGCGGCAAACTCGGGAGGGTACGCGCGGAAGGCACCCATCTCTGGTCGCTTCTTCGCGAGCGATCGGAGGGGGTCGATGACGATGGCGAGCCATGGATTGCCATGTGGATCTTCAGAGCGCTGCCACTGGAGCTGGGTACTCAAGTCGGTGCTGCTGAGGAAGCAATGGGATGTGACTTCGACGTCGAACGGATGGCTATGATACCACCCCATAAACTTCTCCTTTCGCGTCGTTTCAATCGCTTCCCCCAGCGAAATCATATAGTTCATCACTTCCTGGTCGTCGGCAAGTACTTTGGTCTCGGCACCTTCAATCGGCAACGGGAACGCGTCCGTGACAATGAGCGTGTTGAGATTCGCGGGGTCTGTGGACGGCCGTCCCAAGAGCAATCCCATGATCTCCACAGGCTTTCCCCCAGGAGAGCTCATGCCTTTCTCCACTCCCGACTGCGCATGAGACAGCATCTTCATCGTCGCCGACGGTGATACCTGCACTCGCCGAAAGTACTTGGGGTCATGGCTCCACTGCTTGTTCGAGCGCACTTCGTTCACACGGTCTTCGTTCCACGTGTACAAACTGTCCCCGCTCTTCGCATTGGCAGCAGCGCCACCTTTGGCATGCCCCTTCCCCTTGCCTTTCGACGGGATGATGCCGTTGAGGTCTACAGAACTCATGTTGTGATCTCAAGGTTGGAAAATGTCATTCGGTTACACTATTTTGAGGTAGATCTTAAATACTGTGACCACGATTCCTTAAATAGTGACACCTGAAAAAAGATACATTTTCTATATTCTAGCGGCACGGAGAAAGATGGCCGATGCCGCGACCGTCGTCACGACAACCCTGTCATCGTTGATGGCACAGGTCCAACAGCATCTTGGACTGTCGAGCGCATTTCGATGCCGGGTGAAGTGGGCGCATGCCGAAGCGTTGGGTGCCACGACCAAAGCATATCTGTCGCTCGGCGCGTACGGCATGGTCGTGCTCGACATTACAACGCCCGAGCACCCGCACGTCGTCGCAGAGTTCCTGGAAGGGCAAGTAACTCTAAAACACTTTACGATCGAGAGACACATCGTGTATACCGCGTGCGGGAAGTCTGGGCTGCGAATATTCACCAACATCGACGCCGCCATCGACGAAATCGGCGCCCTCGTCCACCCGCGCTGCGGAGCCAAGAGTGTCGCCGTGCAAGGGGACATTGCATTGGTCACGTTCGGTCGATCAGGCGTGCGGGTGCTCGACGTGGCCAACCCGAGCAGCCCCGTGGAACTCGGCGGGTTCAAGGCCGACTCGCTCCACGACCCGCGCTTCGTGCTGCTGCGCGACGGCTGGGGCTACGTGAGCTTTGGCCCCGGCGGCGTTCGGATTCTAGACGTCACCAACGCATCTCTACCTTGCGAGATCAGCTCGTACACCCACGGAACCTTCGACGCCCGGCACATGGCCTTGCACGGGTCGTTCCTATTTGTAGCGTTCAGCTACGGCGGCCTCAAGGTGCTGGACGTGAGCAATCCATTCAGCCCCGTCGAAGTCGGGTCGCACTCGTTCCCGTCGTCGGCCGCGGCCAACTGCGTGCACGTGCAAGGCCAGCACGTGTACGTGGCGTTGGGGCCAGGCGGCCTCTGCGTGCTTCGCTTTCGGCCGCTCGAAGGATTCGAATGGCTGGGGGCGTATGCGCAGGAAGGCACAGACATTACGAGTGTGCACGTGACCAGTGATTGGCTGGCACTTGTGTGTACGCGCCAGGGCAGTTTGAACATCTTGGACGTCCGCCGACCTGACCACATCACGGTCGTGAGCACGTTCACGCCAGACATCCGGCGGTTGGTTTGTCAGCGGTCGTGCACCACCATGTAATGTGACAAGCAAGTAGAGATAGTATGGCAACATTATGATATATATCGGCATAATTTTGATCATCTTGACGTCGGCCCAATTGCACCAAAAGGACATTTATATTCACGTTACAATGGCAATCGTATCGAGACCAAGCAAGCTACTAAGCGAATGGATTGCCTTTGGACGTCCACGTCGACTTGCCGTCGGCGGTCGTCACTTGAACGAGGTCCCCCGACGTCGGACGGGTCGACGGGTCCGCCGACCACGCCAACAATTGCCGCGCAATTTCGTCCACCTAGTGGAACATGTCACTAAAGCCAGGGAGAGGGAGTGTATGTACATACCGGAGTCCACGTCGAGAAGTCTGCGTCGGCCATGTACTTTCGGTTCGTGGGTGTGTCAATCGTGATAGGCAGAATGGCCAACGACGTGGCGCCCGTTGGCAACGTCGGCCTACCCAATGTCGTTAAAACCAGAGAGGAAACAACATGGAAGCGTACGCAGCACTGGCCACCAAGTGGTGCGTCGCCGCCTTGGTCATGCCGTACGTGACCATCTCCGGTGTGGCTACAGAAGAAACGCCATACATAGTTAGCTACAGTTGGTCGACGATCGCACTGTACCTGTCAACGCAGCAGCGGACCCCGTCAAGACGAGAAGTCCCTTGGGATTCAACGACGTCGCAGCCACATGCGCAGCTAATGGAGAACATCGCTGTCAGATGCGGACAAGATAGATGACGATACCTAGGAGGGCAGATTCCATGTTCATGGAGTACATTTGCGACAAGTTGGCCACGGCGTCCGGACTGGCAATGTTGCCGCCGGCCCATCCACCCGCGGCACACACCACGGCATCGACCTTTCTGCAGGAAGGATGAGGAAAGTGCAAGTCCTAGTACGTAGACGACGACTTCGACGTACTGGTTCTTCAATCCTTCGACGACTTTGGGCAATTGCTGCAACGTGCTCTTCCCCGAATCCAACGTCACGTTCACGACGTCGGCGTCCCCGTTGGCTCTATTGCAGGACCGTTGGACGTTCGAGAACTGGATCATGCGACGACGTACGCAAAGTCGACGTTGATCACAGACCACTTGGCAGCATTAAAGCGTGCCGCCACGCCGCGGCCCAACGCGCCAGAACCTCCCACCACAAGCAATCGCTTCAGCATGATTTTCGTGCAATGGGTGCATCATGGCAAAAGGTCTAGTGCTCATGGATTGGCTAAAATAAATTGCATTACTACCAATCCCATGCTGCGAAATCAATTTCGTATTGTGACGTGCGATGGCTTCAATGAATCATGGCCAGAGGCGGCACTGTATCCCACATCTCAAGTGCTCTCACGTTAAACTTACTGTAACCAAGTATGATGATGTGACGTTAGCTTGACATCGCTACAGTACCAGGAGAGATGCCTGTCCTTATCAGGAACTTTCGAATCGGGCATCCCCAACGAACGATGAGACAAGTGAACCAACGTTTTCTCCTTGAAACATGAACGTGCATGTATGGTACTTCACATGCATCGCTTCTTGCACGTACTACATAACGTTAGTAGCCCCTCTTTACAGTTAAGCGCAACTCCACACCGCAACCCTCGTTGATGTCCATGAACAGCCGACGCTGCCTCGCCATCCCCACGCCTTTTAAAGTTGGTGGCCTCTCCACATGGCTTGTTCGAAACAATTATTATAGCCAATCACAATCACTTACAAATCTTCCAAGTCATGTGATTGGTGGAACCACGGATATCTCCAATCTTGGTGAAACGCTGCGATTGGTCGGTTTCGATTCCAGGCGACTGCATTTGAGATATTCGGCAAATACGGCCCACATCCACATCGGTGTCGACACGCATCCCAGGAGCCTTTCTAGCGATGACGTCGCACTCGTTCGTGTCGCCGACAGCGGCCGCCTCGGAAGACGACCCAAACAACCCGTCCTTCCAAAGCCGCGCGCAACGCCGGTATGTCGTGGGGGTGTGCGCGATGGAGAAGAAGTCGAGGTCCAAGCCGATGCAAGAAATCCTCCGACGCCTGGTCAAGAAGAAGCAGTTCGACTTGGTCATTTTCACAGACGACATGATCTTGAACCGTCCGATCGAGGACTGGCCCATCTGTGAAGCGATCTTTAGCTTCTACTCGACGGGGTTCCCCCTCGCAAAGGCCGAGAGCTACGTCCACCTCCGCCGCCCCGTGTTGGTGAACGACCTGAGCATCCAACACGTGCTCTTTGACCGACGCAAGGTGTACGAAGTACTCATTCGCAACGGCGTGAACGTCCCGCGCCATGCGATCGTGAACCGCGACGGTCCGACCCCGGACGTCCTCGACGAGAGCGAAAACTACGTAATCGTGAACGGCGTTCAAATCAACAAGCCGTTTGTAGAAAAGCCCGCAGACGCCGAAGACCACAACATCTACATCTACTACCCGTCCAGCGCCGGCGGCGGTAGCAAGCGCCTCTTCCGCAAAGTCGGCGACCGGTCCTCTGAATTCTACCCCGACGTCAACCACGTATGTCCATCCTACCCCCCATTCTCCCCATCCTCTTCCATGTCCACAGGTCCGGCGGGAAGGGTCATACATCTACGAAGAGTTTCTCAACACGCAAGGCACGGACGTCAAGGTGTACACAGTTGGTCCCAACTACGGCCACGCCGAAGCGCGCAAGTCGCCAGTTCTGGACGGCCGCGTCATGCGCGACAGCGTCGGCAAAGAGGTGCGGTACCCCGTGATCCTCAACTCGATCGAGAAGGACATAGCGCGCAAGGTGTGTCTGGCCTTCCAGCAAACAGTATGCGGCTTCGATCTGCTGCGGGTCCGCGGCACGTCGTTCGTGTGCGACGTGAACGGGTGGAGCTTTGTTAAGAACTCCAAGAAGTACTACGACGACTGCGGCCTCGTACTGCACAACTACCTTCTCACGGCGTTGCTGCGGTACCGCCACCACCACCGCCCATCGCCGCGCTACAACCTGTCGCCCAAAAGCAGCGGGGGCCCGTCGCCGTTTGCCCAATATGCGACAGAGCCAGTGCTGCTCAACCAGCACCAACCGTTCATCAAGGAGCAGCACTCCATGTCCACACACAGCTCGCCGTCCGACCCGTTCGACTTGCCGCATAGCTTGGGGTCCCCTCAGCTGCTGCATCACTCGCGCACGAGCTCCACGGCCTCCAATGATGACAGCATGTGGCTCGAGAAGAAGGAAGAGCTCCGCGCCGTGATTGCGGTCGTGGTACGTACGGATATCGTTGTACGGATAATGAATCGATACTGACGTCTGGACCGGTTGAAGCGAGGATTTTTGATTGGCTACTTGATCAGTGTGTTCTGTGTTTTGATTGGTCGTATATCGATTGACTACTTTACAGTCCACTTGACAATATATATATATTCAAACGGTTGTAAGGACTTGTGTTGTCCTTGTTCACACCTCGAAACACGAGGCTATTTATTTATCGCAAAAATATTGAAAACGTGTATTTTTATTTATTATTATTTTTCAATATTTAATATTTATTTTGTTTGGGGATGATCCACGGATTATGTTTTATCAAATATAATATTATTTATTTATTATCAAATCTAATATTATTTACGTTTTATCAAATCTAATATTGTTTACGTTTTATCAAATCTAATTTATGCTTTATCAAATCTAATTTATGTTTTATCAAATCTAATATTATTTATTTCTCGTTTGCATACCGTAAACATGTGTCACCTTCGACGGGTATCCAACACGGTCAAACACAATTGTCCAATTGTCCAGTGATGAGATGCTACTTATCTATCACAGTATTAGTATATATATATACATATAGTCCTTCGTCATAGAGTGGGAAAGGATGATGATTTGTTGTTGATTGGCTAATAATATCCTTGGGTCTATTTTTGGTTTTGTTACTTTGGCCTGGTTTATATGTTTACTGGTAGAGATAGATTCAGTAGTGGACATGTATATGATAGAGACCCAACTAACGACTAGTTCTGACGTTGTTAGAGGCATGGCGATCGCACGCCCAAGCAAAAGCTCAAGACGCGGGTATGGGAGCCCCAGCTTGTGAATTTCTACGAAACGCGCCGTACCAAGGACAAATTCGACGAAGTTAAAGTGAAAGCGGTCATGGATTTACAGGAATTACTCGATATTGTGCGCTCGCTCATTAAAGAGTATGCGCCAAACGTTGGGTCCAAAGGCACTGTGTGGGAAAAAGAAGGTCACGCTTTATATATATATATATATTTTATATATATATATTTATATATCTGCGGGGGGGATTGGTGTAGGTGGCGACAGTTTTGAAAAGTTATTGCAAATCAAGCGAGTGCTGGAGCGATGGAAATTTGCAGGGATCAACCGCAAAGTGCAGTTCAAACCTCGTCGTGAGTACATGCCGCCGTCGTCAGGGTCGGGGGCCAACTCGGAGCTGCTCTTGATCATGAAATGGGGGGGGGATCTCACTGAAACGGGCAAACGTCAAGGCGAATTGCTGGGCAATCGGTTCCGCAACGAATTATACCCCGTTGAAGAAGGTAAGTAGGCATATTTTAGGTTGCCTCTAGTGGTCCTTTGTATGCAAAATTATGTGGCTACGTTTTGGGGTAATTTTTCGGTGCCAAATCGATCGGTATATTGATTGTTTGACTTTAGTATGTCAAGATTGTCCAGTGTCACACTAATTTCAGAGTCACGCACGAATTTAGTGTTGAAGGATTGGTCGAAGAGAGTGGATAGTTTTTGATTGGCCAGTTGATTCGTGTGGTGGGTTTTGATTGGTCGTATATCGATTTTCGATTTACTTCTTCTAGTGTGCATTTGATTGAGAAATCTTGACAATAATATGAATGATAAGGTGGGCTGCTGCGACTCCACTCTACGTTTCGGCACGATCTCAAGATCTTCACGTCCGACGAAGGCCGCGTCCAGATGACTGCCGCCGCATTCGCCAAGGGTTTCCTTGAGCTAGAAGGCGACTTGACGCCGATACTGGTCAGTCTTGTGACTACATTGGACAAAGATGCGAATAAAATGCTCGATCACTCTGGCCAAGCGGACGCAAACGAAGAAATCGAGCGCACCAAAGCCAAGCTCCGCAAAGTTATGCAGCAAGAGTACACGTCGTTCGAGGACATGGTGGCCAGCGTCGCACCGCTCAATACGCATTCGATCGTGGCCGCGCTGCACGACCTGCAAAACCCCAAAGAATCGCTGGGTAAACTGCACGATCTAATCCGACTCGTCAAGACTGAGATCAAGGAGCTGGCCGCCGACAGAGCGGCGCTGAGTCTGCATGACGACCGCCTGAATGAGCTGTATATGGGCGAAACGTACTCGCTTATGAGCGAACGATGGGAAAAGCTCTACAGAGACTTCTATTCTATCCCAAAGCAAGAGTATGACTTGAGCAAATTACCCGACATTTACGACTGCATCAAGTACGACATGCTGCACAACCTCAACGGCGCGCACGCGACGACCAAGTACGGCCGCGCGCTGTTCAATATGGCCGAACTCTTTGTCACGTGCTATGTACCCCAGGAATACGGTACAGTATATATATATATATATATATTATCGATATTGGTGTTTTGATGCTTGAAATATTATATTCATCGTTCAACAACATGGTTTCGCGGTTACACAGCACGAAGTGGAGGACATTCACCCTGTTGATATTATTATTGTCTTTCTTTTACCCCAAACTTGGCTGACTTTTGGGCTGATTTTCGCCAAATCGATCGATATATATCGATTCTTACTAATTTGATGTTGGCATGGGCAAGAGTGGTGAATTTGATTGGCTACTTGATTCGTAATGTGGGTTTTGATTGGTTATTTGGGTATTCTGCACATGACTGTTGCAATTTCGAATCGACTTGACCATATCATCATGATTGGTTGATTTGTAGGCATGAACGTGGCGGAGAAGCAGAGCATTGGCATCAAGGTATCCCAAGCTCTGTGTGCCAAGATCCGAGCAGGTAAATACGCTTTTAACACTTATACGGAGAACGATGTCACACATTCATACATGTAGACATTGCGACCGCCATGACGATTCAACGCGAAGAAAAGCCCAGTGTGGTCAACAGTCTGTACAATGGCAAGTCGTTCTTGCCTCTGTGTACAGCGGCGATGGACGAGTCGGACGAGTCGGAGAGCAACTTGGAGCACAATGGGTACCGGTTGGATCCGTCGTTCGCCAAGGAGCTGCGCATCAAGAGCCCGGGCACGCAAGTCCGGACGCGGCTGTACTTTACAAGCGAAAGCCACATGCACACGCTGCTCAACGTCCTTCGGCACCAGTGTCCGGCGTGGGTGGCGCGTCGGACGGACGAGAACCTTACGAGCGGAACCTCGTCGCAGCAGGACCAACCACCCAAACAAAGGCACGCGTTTGATGCGGCCAAGATGACAATGGCCCCCCAAGCCATCGAAGCGCTCGACAACGTGTCCGAGCTCGACTACTTGGCGCATATTATCATCCGCGTGTTTGAAGCCCCGTGGCTGCCTGTACGTTATGTGCACCTTGTCGCAGGGAGGAACGACGCTCAAATATATATCGTGTGGTTAGGAGGAGGATGGGAACCGGTTCCGCGTCGAGATTGCGTTTTCACCGGGACTGCGCGGAGACCCCGAGGGAGGAGGGGGGGTGGTGCTCGAGGCCGCGCGCAGCTCGTCGACGTCGAGCGCGGCGTCGTCCGTGGGTTTCACGCCGCCGTCGACGCCCCTCGCGTCGTCCGTCCCCATCGCCATCCCCCCGTCGTCGAGTCCGAATCTGTTTGCGTTCTACGATCGCAAAGATGACGTAATCAGTCCTTCATATGACGGTGGTATCCCAGACAACAAGATCTACCTGACCAAGGACATGCCTGGCGTTGTCTTCGACGACATGCTGGCCGCATGCGTCGCATCCGTCGCCAACAACCCCGTGTCCTATGTGCCCGATAGCGTCTAGAGGTCTCTCTCAGACGCGTTGTCTAGTAAGACTAGTACATATACTATTGTAGAGTGTCAGTGTTGGTGTTGCCATTGTTTGACGCACAGGATACAGCACTAACGTTACTACATACATCAACAAACACGTATGTATGGCGGCATCGCAACCAACAGATCGGGCTCCATCGGACATCGCTAGAGCGATCGCGATATGACTGTTGTGTTGGCATAGTTTGGGGATTATGATCTGGAGGATGGGATGGGGGGATGGATGCCCAAGGTCGATGATATTGAATGCCATGGCATACTGTATCGATGCGAAACAAGGAGGCGCTTTAGAAACACAAGGACGGGAGTTTTCACATGTGGTGGACTGTGCCTTACTTATTCTTGACCAGCCCATTCCAAGAACTTTTGCGCGTGGTAAGCAGACGAGACAGCGCACAGCGACGCAACGGCAATGGGGACCGTAGCCTTGGTCTTGATAGCACGCACTCCCATGACAGCCATCGTGATGGAGCTGAGGGCCAACGCAGTCGCATGGCCGTTGGTCATCTGGCCTTGTTGCAACAGGTATCCTGCAAATCCAAACCCGGCGCCGATGCCAACGCCTGCAGCAAGGGAGATCACAGACCCACGCTTGACATATCCCACGACTCCGCCAATAGCCTACATGATGATGTCGTTAGTCTAGGACGAAGCACACTGCGAACTGTACCAGCAATGCAGCCAACGTGTATGTAGGGTGGTGGCTCGACATGGTAGCGACAGTGGAAACTTGGAAAGTGACACTAAGCATCTTGTATCCGGAATACCGGATACGTACTGCAGCTTTTCCGTCGCAGGTGCTGAAAAAAGATTGTGAAGTAAGCTTATTAATACTTCGAAGTATTGTGCTTTCAATTGGATTTTCAGTGGTTTCTCGTTGGAATTTAAATCGATTTGATTGGCTACCTCAGATGAGCTCAAAATTATTAGCCAATCAAAACCTCTCAATAAAATTCAACCAATCAGATCGATTGTGGATCGGTTTGGCCCCTCCCCAAATTTGTATCAAATCGACAATATTGTGAATTCAATATTGAATCACGCTGGAAGTTCTGATTGGCTGCATACACTTGAGTGCCAATCAGATCCACTGATTAGCCAATAGCGTCGATTCGTGATTCGATCGGTTTTGTACCGATCCACAATACTACGTTCGCCTTCACTGACATCCCCACTGCTGGTTGCGTTGCGAGGACTGTAGAACACCCCCGTCGTGGTCATTGAATCCCAGACGTCGTTGGGTTGATCGAACAGTACACAAGGGCCGGCCAGAAGCGACTTTTCAGAGGCAGAAACAAGTTTGCGAGTAATGTTGTTGAAGCATAAAAAACGCACATATCACTTCCCCCTTTCGGCCAGAATATGACCCCTCGGACCGTGCCTTTCATAACGTTAAGGGGGGATATGAGGCTAACATCCTAACACGCCCCCCTCGACCTTTCATGCCCATTCGTCATGGCCATCTTGAAGGTACACTTCAAGTTGGTATCGCTTCTGAAGGGGCTGGTCAAAGGCGTTCGACAATCCGTGTGAATACGTCATATTTTACATAGAGAGTTCTCACGACACATCACGTATTCAAATTTGGGGCTTGCGCTGTAGCTTTTGTCCAACTTCGGCAACGTCGTGGGACGAGGCGTGATGAACCCACTTTCACGACCATCTAAATCACTCCGCGATTGCCATGGCCACTGTCGACGACGACGACACCGCAGCCTTTCTTGTGTCGGCCCTTTGCCGGCAAGATCCGACGCCGCAGGGCCACTCGCAACGGGAGCGGTTGTCGTCGGCAACAGCTTCGAGTGACGAGCCCATCAAGCACGAAGACGAAGAGGACGACCCGAACGACGCCATGTTCTTCCACAACTTGGACCTGGCGTTCGCCGCGGACCTCAACCTGTCCAACTTGCCGCCGCCGGCCGAGGGTTGTGGCCCCCTCTCCCCCTTGCAATTGCATCCTCCGCCCCCACAGCAACCACCGCCGCCACTGCCACCCGAGTCCCATCGCTTTCATCTCCGCCTCACCACGCGGTTTCTCCCCCGATATTGGAAAAACGGCCGCAAGAATCTCCAGTGCTTCCCGTTCTGCCCCGAGCACGGGGACTTTCATGACATGAAACTCCAGGGCAAGAAGCATGCTTCCATTGGAGTCTGTCGCACTCCGGTGCACTGCGACCTGCACAGTCCCCTCTGGCTCCCCCATGTGCATGTGATTGGGCGGATCGAACAAATCTCTCCTGGCGTTCCCATGGAGACGCCCCCGCTGCTGCGCGGCTTGGGGGAGTGGCATGCCTTCCGCCACGATGGCTACGACGCCTCTCAACTGGGGGTGCGTATGTATTCAAACTGTGGGCTTTAGGTAGCCATCTTGTGTGTAGACAAGCACGTCGGTGCCCGGCGGGGGATGCAAAAGCACGTGGATGTTCCTCCCGGATGTATGGAAGCTGCAACCGCTGCTACGCAAGAAGCGAAAAGCCACACGGTCGACCCCCGCCGAAACGTTTCCGTTTTATTTCCGGGTAGGATTAGATTATTCGATGCCTATTTTGATGTGTATGATGTCTGGGTTAGGTGTTTTGCTTTCTGCAATCGCCGACGGCAGAGTACTTAGACCCCCACAACTGCCACGCCCCCATCGACACATTTCGCTGCGTGGCGGAGTGTCATTCCACTTCGTTTGAGCTGTCGTCCACACGAACGGTGGACAGACACCGCAAAGCCAAATCGTCGGAATGACTACATCACACATACGAGCAACAACACAGCCATCTTAATATCGTCACCAAAACTACTACTAGTACTACTAGTACTACTGTACTCTAGCTATTATATACAGTCCCCGTTTCAACGGTTTACGTACTGTACTATACAGTACACACCTTAAGGCTGCTGCTCGACGCTAATCCTACCACTACTACTACCGGTACTACTACTGTACGACTCTTCCAGGCCTTTTTGCGCCTCATGCCATCGCAGAGACTCTTCATACGCGACTTCGGCGGCGGCCACGCGCTTCTTCTCCCGCGCCAGGTCGTCCTGCAACTGGACCACCGTCTGGCCCAAACTGTACGTGGTCGACTGCGCCGCTTGTAAGCTCGACACCAAGTTTGCTTTCTCCGCTTGCACGGCCGTTACAAACCTACACCAACCGGCGGATCAGAATCCGAATGTAACGGAAAGCCGTTTCGAAACGGTTCTTGGACAGTTACACGTCGCACCGGTTATGTTGGGCCAGCGACGCGCCAAGGTGGGTCTTTTCGTCCATGACTTGGTCCAGTCGTCGTTGTTTAACTACAAACCATGATATATATCATGTTGATATGAGTCTACATCTGATTAACGACCACACATTTCATGGTCATCATTCTATATATATATGTATATATATATGCGGAATATATATATCTTGGCCAAGCTTGGACAGCAACTACGTCATCCCCCAGACGACAGCAGCAGCAGTCGTCGTCGTCGTCGTCGCCTTTACTACCGACGATCGTGTTGTATTTACGTACTTTCGAGCTCCGCATGATGTTCAGCTTGCAACGTGGCCATCGCAACCTTCAGCTCGTCCATTTCGCGCACCAATGCCGCTCGATCGGCGTCCGCGGCGGCGCGGAGGCTCTCTCGCAAGTCCGCTTCGCGTTGGGCATATGTAGACTCAGCACATTCTAACACGTGCGCCTTCTCGTCTGCGTCCGCGCGGCTTTGGGTCGCGAGGGCGTGCGCCGTCCGGACTTCGAGCTGCAGTTGCTCCTTTTCCAGGGCCAGCGCATCCAGTTCCGCCGACCTCGCCGCGTCCACGGCGGCCAATTCACTCAGACGGAACTGCAGCGTTTCCTGCACACACTTGACTTCGAGCAGCGTCGCGAGCTGAGTTTGCACTTGGTTCTGGCTCAATCCCCACTGCACTTTGACGTCGGCGAGGTCGTCCTGTGCCTGCTTCAATTGGCTCTCCAGCTCCCCCTTGGTTTGTGCGAGGGCTGCCGCGTGGGCGGTTTGGGTGGCCAAGGCGGCGGCCTGGCTTTGCAGTTCTTTGGCCGCGGCCTCAAGGTCCGCCCGCAGCGACGCCATCGACGACGTGGCGGGAGACGGTGTCGCAGATACTGCTTTTTTCACTCCACTGCTTCCGTCGGCAGGGTTTAACGTACTGGTCCGCTTGGCCAGTGCCGACGTCCTCGACGGCAACGCCCGTGCCGACAGCGGCGTTCGCTTTGGCACTGCTATCATGGGCAATTCCAAGTCGTAAGATAACACATACATCTCCACAATCCCAACACCATGTGCGGGTACCGTGGGGTTCAGAGGAGGACGGAGCATCGGCGGCCAAGGTAGTCGCGGCGGCTTTCTTCACGGTCGAAGCAACAACAGCCGGCTTGCCAAGGTCCACTGCCGATCTCTTGGTTGTCGTCGTTGTCGTCGTGCCTGTATGACACCGACACAAGTATAACATGAGCATCGTCCATGATGACAGTACTACTACTACTACTACTACTACTACTACTACTACTACTAGTCTTGTCAAGTCGATTCGAAATTGGAAGAGTGAAGTGTGCTCAATCGAATGAGCACCAAATCGGCAGACAATCGAAAATCGATCGACCAATCAAACTCCAGAACACGAATCAAGTAGCCAATCAAAACCACACTGCAACCAACTCAACCTTGAATTGGTGTGTGACTGAAATTAGTGTGACACTGGATGATCTTGACATACAAAAGACAAACACATTTGGGGTAAAAGAACAATATTCCATTCCATATCAATGCCATGTGTATCCTTGTTACCTCGCGCGGACGACAAGGAGGCTCGGGGAGTCGACGTGTTAGACGACGACGACGCGGCGTGCTCTGCGATGGTGGCAGGGGAAGCGACAACATGCAGCCGGGGGCGTGGGGCGGCACTCACGGGGCGGGGGGTGGTTTTCCGGACCAGCGCGGGGGCTTTGTCCGGCGTAGCAGCCGCCGCCACCGCCTTGGCGGTTCCGACTTTGAGCACCACTGTGGACTTGGGTACAATTCGCTTGGCTTTAGCGTGGGTCGGACTGGTCGCGGGGCTGGCTTCCGGCTGCGCGTGGTCCGTCGTCAACTTGGCCACGATCTCCCCGACGTCCGCATGCGATACGGTGGCGCGGCGCTTGTACAACAGTGTCACATCCAGCGCCCGTAGCTCCACGTTGATCGCCGCCGCGATCTTTCGTGTCACGGTCAACGTCGGCACCAACGCTGCACACACGCGCTTGAACTTGATTTCGTCCAGGTCGGGTCCGCAGGCGACCGCGACGATCTCATCCAAGTGGCTGCGGGCGACCGAGAGCGGCACATGGACGACGGCGTCCGCCGCGGTCTTGAGCGCACGGATGATAGTCTTGAGGTCGAGAAACTGCGTCTTGATCACGCCCCAGTCGCCGGCCGCGGCGCGCGCGTCGACCCCGGCGCCTTTGGGGGGACTGAACCGAAGCAACTGGACGAGCGCTTTGGACAGACGCAGCACTGCCGGCGGGGGGTTCCGATACGTGCGCAGGACGCGGAGGTCCTCGACTTTGATCAACGCGGGCACGTCGCCGAGTCCGACGAGCGCGTCGCGCGCGGCGGCGCGGGCGGCTTGGATTTTGACCATCGCGTCTGCCAAGAGCGTGTCGGACGTGGGGTCGTCAGGCTGGCGGAGGGTGGAGGACCAGTGGGCGTAGTTCGAGTTGACCATGTGGTACATTTCCGGACTGACTTCCGACAAACTCTTGAGCGAGTCGATGGGAAAGTATGAAAACAGCGGCGCGTAGATGGCGCGAGGGAGGCGCGCGAGGAAGAACGCTGGCTTCACCTTGATCTCTGCCGTAGATGGGGCCTTTGGCAGCGACGACGGACGGGCCAGTCGCGACGTGACTGGCGGTGTCGTGTTGACTTTGGACGCGATGACTTCGGTGGACTGCTGCTGCTGTTTGCCAAGAGGTTTACGAATTTGTCTCGTAGACACAGACGACGACGCCACCTTGAAGAGTTTGGACACGGTCGTTGCAGTCGGCGCGGGTGGCGGTAGGTCGACGGGGGTCGTTTCGTCGGTGTGGGCTGCGACTGGGGCCCGGATAGCGTTATCGTCGGCAGAGGGAAGGACGGCAACGCCATCGACAGAGGGAAGCACAGGTACCTCCATCCGTTCAGGCGATCCCATCTCGTGAATCACTTCCGTCAAGTCGTCAAATGTGTTGGACAGCGTCTCCGCACTCATCTGCTTGCTCGTTGTCGAGGAAGCACTGAAACGCGGTTTGATAATAGCCTCGCCTCCATGTGGGATATATTTGGATCCGACTGACACTTGATTGGCTAAAATAAAACCAACTGGGCTCTCATTGGTTAATATTCATAACCTTCCGGAAGTAATTCAGCCATAACGTCGGTGGTTTCATAATTTTAGCCAGAAAGGTAAAGTGCCTCCAGCGTCATACAGACGACGTTGGCTATCTCCAGCATATAGTGAAGTAGGACCTGTCCTTCTTAAGGCACCAGCACATGAGTAGAGTTGGCACAAGTTTTGTTCATGGCTCGTTGTAAGGTTGCGAGGCTGCATCGATTGATGGCCCATCATGACGTCGATACCACGGACTGCGTCATGCGAAGGAATCCACATGCTGCACCCGAGGGCTTGAGGGAATATTTTAACACCATTCGACTGGCTATAAATATACGAATAATGGCAAATCAAAAGCCCTAACATACTAATAGTATTACTAATAATCCGGATAATTCATGCCACAATCTGACCCCACAATGAGTGCCACGATGCGGTCTCGGAAACCTGCCACGTCGACGTCGACGGCGGCGTCTGGCCTCACCGCAAGTGACAAAGATAGCAAGAAGGAAGACGTTCATGACCAGGAGGAGATGCGGCTGTGGGCTCCGAATTTCCACTCGGCATTCAGTCTGCTGGCAGTGGTGCGGGTGTTGTCGGCGCTGATCAACATCATCTCCGACTGTGACGAAACGTTCAACTACTGGGAACCGCTGCACAACCTCGTGTATGGCTTTGGCCTGCAGACGTGGGAGTACAGTCCTGCATACGCCCTACGCTCGTACTTGTACCTGCTGGTACATGCTATTCCAGCCAAACTCGGCGCTATTTTCGTGTTTGGGAACACCAAGCTGGGCTTCTTCTTCGGGTTGCGCGTGGCCCTGGCTTTCTTCTCCGCTGCGTCCGAAGCGCTCTTCTACCGGGGCATCGTACACGCCTTTGGGCCGGTCGTGGGTCGGTACACGCTGGTGCTTCTCGCGTTCAACAGCGGCCTCTTCCTCGCCAGCACCGCCTTCCTCCCCAGCTCGTTTGTCATGTACCTCCTCATGCTGTTCTCGTACTCGTGGATGGTCTCTGACACGACGTTCAGTACCACCGCGCTCGTCGCGGGCGTCACGGCGGTGCTCTGCGGCTGGCCGTATGTAGGCGTCATGTGTGTGCCGTTCTTCTTCGACTCGATCGCGCGCTTCGGCGTCGTGCGTCCCATCGCCACGGGCCTTGTGGTCGTGTCCTTGATTCTGTCACTGGAACTCGCGGTCAACTACCATTACTACCACAAGCTCGTCCTCCCGGCCCTCAACATTGTCCTGTACAACGTGCTCTCGTCCGGGTCCGAGCTGTATGGCACCGAGCCGTGGCACTTCTACGCGCAAAACCTCGCGCTCAACTTCAACGTAGCTGCCGTCTTGGCGGCCCTGAGTGCCCCCGTGACCGCGATCACCGTCGTCTTCCGCCGCCACACCCGCCGCCAAGCGCTATTCTTGACACCGCTGTGGATCTGGTTGGTCATCATGACGCTGCAGGCCCACAAAGAGGAGCGGTTCCTGTTCCCCGTCTACCCGCTCCTGTGCGCCGCCGCCGCCGTCTCCCTAAAGGCCATCGCGGCCGTCTTTCCCCGTCGGCTTGGCTCGTTCGTGGCAGTGCTGGCCTTGGTGGTGTACGCCGCGCTCTCTGCCATGCGCATCGCAAGCGTCACGACTCAATATGGCGCCCCCCTAAGACTATACCAGCACATGTCGACCGAGTTGCTCGCAACCCGAGGAGCAACGTCGACCCACGCGATGGTGGTTGTGTGCGTCGGCAAGGAGTGGCATCGGTTCCCCAGCCATTTCTTCTTTCCGAATCATGTGCGGCTGCAGTTTATTCGAAGCGGCTTCCACGGGCAACTCCCAGCCTACTTTAACACCACGTATGACGTACCCCCCCACATGAACGACCTCAACCAGGACGAACCGTCGCGCTATGTGCCCATTACCACTTGCGACTTTGTCGTTGATCGCACCGTCCCCGCGGCGTCGGCGCACCCCGACGAGCCTGGGTTCGAGTCAGATCCGGACTGGACGGAACTCCACGCCGAGCCGTACTTGCTCTCGGAAGCGTCGCATCGGGGGCTTCGGGCGTTCTACGTGCCGTTCTATACCCCGTCGCATGTTACGTTTACATCGTACGCAGTGTACGGCCGCACGGACGAGCGGCAACCGGCGCAGTAATAATATAGTATGCTGTGGAGGGAATAAAAATATGCATGGGGTAAGAGGTTGAATAAGAAGACTACGACGGCTTGATGTTATGGTATTGCCGTTCTTTTACCCAAAGCTTGGTTGACTTTTGTGCTGATTCTTTGCCAAATCTATCGATCTTTTGTAAAGATCGTCCCGACGAATAATTTCAATCACACACACTAATTCGATGATGAATTATTATTCGAAGAGTGGATTTGATTGGCCAATGGATTCGAGTTTTGGGTTTTGATTGGTCGATCGATATTGTCTGCCGATTTGGTGCTGCTGCTCATTTGATTGAGCACCGAAACACTCCAATTTCGAATCGAATCAACAATATACTACATAAAGTATACCATATTATTGTCAAGTCGATTCGACAAAAGAAAATATGAGCAGCAGTACCAAATCGGCAGACAATATCGATCGACCAATCAAAACCCAAAACTCGAATCCATTGGCCAATCAAATCCACTCTTGGACCATTCAACACTGAATTAACGCTAGTGTATGAACGAAATTAGTGTGCCACTGGACGATACAAACGTCAGTACAAACAATCGATCGATAGATTTGGTGATCAGCTAAAGTCCAATTATGGGTAAAAGGACAATAGCAGCAGATTGCTGTATTACTGCTATAAATAGCCATACTCGGTCAACGTACGATAAAAATACATTATTATATTGGTTATGTATTTTCACCAATGGTTCAACATGGTGGAAATCGTAGCTTGAAACAGGGCGGATCCTCCTCTTGAGTCGGGGGGTTTGGTCGGCATCGTGGCCCCGAGGGTTTCCCCACGCTGCGTCATGCAACCCCCCGACTTCTGTAGGTCGCCGCGTTCTCCGCAAGTTGTCGAGAGGGCCCATCCAACGGTCAAGTTGGGTGCTGGGGCCTCTGTCATGCACTTGCGGCGCCTTCGATTCTCACGCGCCGTGGGATGGACGGACGGCCGATCGGTCCATCCCATTACGCTTGTCACGCGCCGCAGTCTTCTTCTTCGACGACTGTCGCCGGCTTGCTGGGAAGGTACGACGACGCCACAGCGGCGGCATTGTTGTCATAAACGTACAACTTGTGCCACCACTCGAGGACGGTTTGGTCCAGACTGGCATTCCACATGGACGCCGTCGACATCTGAAGGAGTCCCAGCCACGAAATGACGTTGATCAGCATTGTCTGCGACACGGTCACGAAACCTGGTTAGGTCCTGGTCAAAGAAAATGCGACGATGGCGAGTTTTTGTACCATGGGGGCGTACGAGTTGTAGTAGCGAAGACTCTGGAGGACTTGCAGCGTTGGTTGTATCATCACGAGTGGAAACGCAAACAGACACAGCATGAACGGGCCTGACGAGATAATGAGACCCACGGACGGGTCGACGGGAGGGGAAAGAGAGCGTACCATAACCACGTCGCTTGGACGCGCCAATGTACATGGATCGAATGGTGTACCCAACCAGAAGCATGGTGACGAGGACCGCCAACTTCTTCGACAGCAACAACGTGCTGGACGATGCCGTCGTCCCCACACATGCTGTCAAGAAGTTGGTCGCCACCACGGGCCAGGATCAGCAACCCATCACAGACGGCACGTACAGCTAATGAAGCGAACGTTAGGAGACTGATTCAAGGATAGTGAGTACCATAGCCGTCACAAATGACGAGTAGATGCTCTTGACCGTATGTGGGAGCTCGACCCCATGCGCGTACGACGTTGGTTTGTCGGTTTTGTCGTAGGCTAAGGTTAGTCCATCTTCTTCATCGAGTGGAGAGCGCTGGAGGACCGATTGCCGGTGATTGATCTCCGCAGCCATGGAAACTGTTGTGAGGAGTTGCCTACTGCGGAACTGTGCTGCCATGGTTGTGCCTCTGCCAAGTGTCAGATGGGTTCTCTCACCTACTACTAGTAGTACTACATACAGTACACCATACAAATGGCAAATCCACCCAAAGAGCCTGTTCACGAATGAAGTTTTTCTAGCCAATCCAACATCGAGAATAGTAATATTTCAGCCAATCACACATTAACAGACGACAGTTTGTCGTAGGCAAAGGTTAGTCCATCTTCTTGATCGAGTGCAGAGCGCTGGAGTACCGATTGCCGGTGATTGATCTCCGCGGCCATGGAAACTGTTGTGAGGAGTGCCGTGTGCTGCCGATGGTTGTGCTTCTGCCAAGTGTCAGATGGGTTCTCTGACCTACATTCTCCATACAATTAGCAAATCTACCCTGTTTCACCAATGTAGTTATTCTAGCCAATCCAACATCGAAAATGTCAATATTTCAGCCAATCACACATAAGTTGAATCGATTAATTCGGGCTGAACCTCGCTGCGACATTTGATTGGTTACCTAATACTAGTAATCCAAAGACAAACAGGGCAAGGTGAAGAGTACTAGTACAACAGATCATAGGATTAATATCCAAATTAATACAGCTACACGAATCATTCCATTCCATATATCTGAAGGCATTTTGATTGTGGCTGCCTTTGAGCAACCAGAAGTGGTTTGAATCATTCAAACACGCGGCAAACATTTTAACCAATGAAAATAGTTGAATTACGCGAAACGACAGTGGTATGGTTTTTGCCATTCCCATGAAGTTGTAACTATATTTGAAACATTTTGGTGGTTACAGATGAGCGGGAAGTACGGTACCGGTACTTGTGAACTCCAAAACTAATTTTGATACTGTATTGTAAAGTTCAATTAAATATTACAAATAGTGTTATAGCCAATCGTGTGCAAGAAGCAAGTGTGATGGGCTCTTATTGGATATTAAAAAGTAGCAAGGTTGGTTTCCCCTTGACTTGCACTTTGCTTCAAGGCAATTGTCGCAGCGATGTTCACTCTCAGTTACTGCGAGATTCGATTGGGCGGGGGGCGGACATACATACATACCGATCCTATTAATAATACAATATTTGTCTTATTAATACTAATACTACTCTATACGTACAGTACTAGGTAGTATTGTGAATTTCCTTCGAATCTGCCCTGTTCGCTTTACCGTATACCTTATGGAAGTGTCATCTAATCGAAATGGATACAAATCAATAATAGGGTGGTCCGATTTCTTTCCAATATGTTCGGAATAGCCATTTCTTCTGTTTGATTGGCTAGAACGAAATAATTGATAATTGGACAATTTTGACTAATCTAAAGCGACTTGGGTACAATCTTCTAATATTAATACCACCTAAGTTAATCGTTCTTTATTGACACCATACAGCAATCTGCGTCAACTCTCGACATCGTGGGTTCCATAAGGTATACATACTATTATTGTACTATAATAAATAATCCGCAGAATGGACACGGAGAATAGTAGAAAAATGTAGCCAATCAGCCTCAGTTTAACCAATCAATTGCCGCGGCGAGGTTCAGACAGGACCGGAATTTCATAACCGAATCTAACGTTACAAAACAAAGCTAACTTTTAGTCGCAACGTTAGCCGCTTCTCCTTTCTCCCGTCTAACTGTAAATTTAAGTCAAAGTAGATTTGCGCGGTAATAATGCAAGGTGATTGGCTTCACAAATGTTGCTGATACTTTTCCACGTACAACATGGTTAAGAGACAACGACTGCATCTCGAGCACGACCGATCTTCATGGCCTTCACCCATCGTCGCTGCTGAACCTTCCTCGCCATCGCTGGCCACTTGGTCTTGAATCGAAGTGGCGGTGCGTTTGGTAGTCGCTCGACCATGTCCACATACGTCTTCATTTTGCAAACTTCGATCGAGGGCAGCGTGATGTCGTCTTGTGTTGGGGTGGGCTCGCAGCTAAAGCCCATTTCCCGCCTCATTATGGCTTTGAGCAATGTGCGTTGGTCGGATGGAAGGGCCCTGATTTCTTCTTGAAGGCGTTCGCGGCGGAGCCAAGTGGCGTCATCGTCCATGCGGCATTGCTGCACGTGTCGAAAGTGTGCCTCCATACTGCAAAAGCGGCGCACCAGTACGTCGATATCAACCATGTTCGAGTGGATGGAAGCAGTAGAAAATTGCAAAGTGTCGACAGTATTGTTTTGAAGTCGAGATCGTTGACGGTGGTGTGCTTGTCTCACGAAACAAAGTGGTGGGTTGAAGCAACCCATCAGATGGGATGCCCCGCGGCCGGTCAAGTTTCTTGGCATCATCAGTGGAGTTTGGGCACGATTGAAGCAACTATGGTGTCGAGTCCACCTGAGACCATCTGCCTGAGCACTTTCTCGTCTTCCGAGATTGACTTGTGATAAGATTGAAGTACAATGTACGGGTTGGCGTGCACCTGTTTGACAACCAACGACCACGGCTTTGAAAAAGTGGGAGTCGCAACGACGGGTGTCGACACCCATGAACGTTAGCCTCAGCCTTAGCCAGGCTAATGGTAACATGGAGTCGTGTAGGCAGTATCTTCAGCAGTGGCATCTCTCGTCGAAAGTTTGAGGATACGCGACTTCGCATGGACGTCAATATGCGCAGGGTTGTCGACCCCACCCCACCGAGAAGTGCACGGGGCTCGAACGCGCTCGGTATTACGTCATGACGCAATTGAAGGCAGGCGACGCCGTTTCAAGACGCATTGTTGTGTGTCTCGAGGGAAAGATACAGTACATATCGCCAACTAGGCTAACTCAACGATGTACCACCATGGTTTGTGACTAACTAATACCTTCAACGGTGTAGTATACTCGCAAGGACGCTTGGTAACAAGTCAGAACACCAAGTTAAGCTGATCAAAAGTCATGGTACTCGAAGTATGATTTACGTGATCCGGGCTAACAAATCGGGTGTGACCACTGTTATTGGGCTGAGTGGGACTGGTGCTCGAGAGACGTCGTTCATAAAAAGTAGTAGAATAATTCCCTCATTAGGGAGATTTCGGTGATGACTTCTCTTTTTCTTATTCCGTAAAAATTGAAAGCAGAGTAAAAGTAAGGAATTTTATATCGACGATTTCGGAGATATTAACATTTTTTCTCTATCCATAGACTAGATGGAGCCAAATTCGTGGACTTCGTGGATAATCGGCGAGGTCATTGTCAGAATAGAGAGGTTTCGCAACTCATCTTTATCATTATCCTCAACTGCTTCTGCCAAAAGCGGAAGTGTCCCTGTCAAAACTAATTAATGATACTGTGAAAACTTATTCGGAATCATTGGATTTGAACTATTGTGATGACAATCGTCATTGTCCTCACAGCCCGTTTGGCGGATAATCGCACCCATGGCCACCCCGACGAAGCGCCGCAATTTCACTGAAGACGACGACGTTATGCTCCTTCGCCAAGTGTCGCTGGAAATGCCGTTCCAAGCCCGACGAGGACACGTCATGGAACGTTGGGCTGACGTTGCTTCGGCCTTGGAAATGGCTGATGACTTCCGACGCAGTGACATCGATGCCAAGAGGGCATGCAACCGCTTCATGCTTTTGCTGGATGCCCATCGAAAGGCAAACAATCAGTCCCAAAGAGCGTCCGGTGTTGCAGAAGACGTTAGCGAGAAGACAGTGCTCCTTGATGACCTCTTGGCGTCATACGACGACATCAAAGGCGCAGAAGCACAACGTGCCGATGAAACTCGGCATACGGCCGAGCAAATGGAAGCGATGGGAAGTCAAGTCCGCGCCGAAGCCTTGGTATCCTTGGGAAAACGAAAGCGAGATAAGGATGCCGACGACGCTGGTACAGGTGGAGGTAAATTCATGAATGTTTTTACACTCATGCATGAGCAAGCCCAAGCCGACCTGCAGTTTCAACGTGAAAAGTTTGAAACTGAAGTCGAGGAGCGTCGGTTAGACCGGCAGCTTTTGGCTGAACAACTTGGGCGACAGCAGCAATCAATGGCTGAACAGTTTCGCCAGCAGCAGCAATCATTCATTGAGCTTATGAAATTGGTAGTTGAAAAGTCGAATTAACTCTAATGAACGGAAGCTCTTTAACAAACAATATGATATATTAGATTTCAATTATTTCCAATGTATCGAGATACTTGCGCAAGCCTGGCGGTGTCAAGTTGAAAAAATTGCTTATTTGGTTTCCACCAAAATAGCAGCAATGGCAATTAGTCAACAGCATTGCAATGGCTACTACTTTAGCCACAGGGGAGAGCCGGATTTTCGACAACATTTTGAAGGTAATGTACGACCACCTTCTTGTTAAAAAACAACAGCGATCCCCACCGAGCGTACAATTCGTTGACGAGGTGTAAAAAGATGTCGCACAGAGAGGAGCGTGATCGGCCAAAGGTCTTTGTCATGGTGTGGAACCGCACAGGAAACGCCAAACGGCCCAACAACACACACATGGCCTCTTCTCGGTGTACGCGTACGCGTTTGGGTGTGATGATGACAGCAGGTAAACCCAGAACAAAACCCAACTCCTTCACACCAGCGATGTCAAAGCGATAGTCGAGGATGGCAGTGGCATTCGTTGTTGCGTCGAGGTTGAAGCGAATGGCTGGAATGAGTGGTCTTTCGATGACATATGCAGCGATCAGTGCATGTAGGGTGGCTCGTTGACGCGCTGTCTTGGCAAAGGGGGCAAGCTCCATGAGGTTACGCTGTGTGATTGACATGGTCGCAATGTGGCGACACCAACACCCAACGAATATATCCGAATAACTTCTTTAACCGGAGGCAGTGCAATGACACGGATGAGGATAAGTTGCGAAACGTAAATTATTTTGTCATTATCATTGTCCTGAAAACGATATTTGTCGAGATTGTGATGATGAGGGTAATGTAAAGATGAGTTGCGAAACCTCTCTATTGTCATGGGTCATTTGCCGTTGAAGCTTTGGGGCTAGTAGGGACGACAGAGGCATTCGAAGCATTGAATTGATTGAAACTCGTGTTGTGTTAGTTCACAGATGCTGTCAGTTGTTCTATCTGTAGGACGTTCGGAAAGGCGTAGCTACGAAGGCAAGGTGTGGCTTGCATCTAAAGTTGCACGCCTCGGCAACTGGCACCAAAGAGCCAGCTGCAGAGGAATGCTTCTATACCAGTACTTTTCTGGTGCTTCGAAGATATCGTCGATCAGTCACTGGTGCAACTCCGGCCGACTAAGCTGCGGCATCGGACGGCGCCTAGTTCCTACAAGTGCCTACAGTAGATGTGATGGTGCACGGGATTCTACGTCACTATGCATAAAGATGGAGGTTGTCATTAACTTATTCGCTCCACGGCGGCTTTGATTGACCTCCACTTCATGTGGGCCATCGATCCTCCACGTTCGATTCGAAGTGCCAACAAAAAAGTCTGCACCAAGTCAACAGATCTGACCAATCACAGTCGAGGATTCGAATCGCCAAAATGAGGGATTCTGGTACAAACTGTAAGTTCCGGACTCTATAAAGCTTCAGAGGTTATTTTTAGGAGAAAGATAAGTACTTCGAAGTACTTGCCATTTCGATGTGATTGTGGCAGAGCACCGTCTGCATGTTGGACTCGACCAGGCGCCGAAACATTTGCATCGTGCCTGGCCATGTGAACTGCACCCTTTGAATAAGAGTGAGCGGGTCACCGTCGTTTACAATAACCTGGCCGAAACTTGGGGCCAAAAATAGTACGAGTATACTATTAAGGGGTAGTTCCAAATAATTTTCAGAAATACTAGTAGCATGAGCCAATGAAAATCGATTTACCTCTTTTTATTTCACGATTTAGAAAAAGACGTCAAGGACCTCTTTTTCTATTTTTGGTACAGTGAGTTGCGTAAAAAATCGTAGAAAAAGTAGGAAACTATAGTACAGTACCAGTACTACAGTGTATCTGATACGAATTGGAACATGCCTTGCTTACTTGCAGAGTTTTAACCCAAATCCATCATAATTCCAAGTGGTATTTATTACCTCCATGTTACCAAACGCACCCTAAAATGTATTTCGTCCAAAAACGCCTCGTATTACCCCAATGGTAATTCGATTTCACTGTCAAAATATAATAAATGGACTGGGGCTGCCAATCGAATCGACGCAGTAATCGACGGACCGAAGTAGCCAATGAAATTTTAGACCTTTCGACCAATCAAATTGCAGGTGGGTGCATTCGGTGGATTGCCAAGCTTCTCCATTTCACAAAGAGTTCAACATTGCATCGGACAGAGAACGAGTATATTTATTTCAAGTAAAATAACGTCTCGACGATTTCAGGTGCATTTGACGTCATTCGTCGAAAATACCAAATTTAGCTTGAAAGCACAATACGAATTTTGATTAGTTTGTCGCGTTCTGGTGCATCCTCTCCATTAAATGTTGTCGCCAAGGCAAGAGCTCCGCATGCCTCCGTCGGATCAGTTCGCGTCGCACGTACTCATCCTTGAGGCCGTCGTCGACGTCCATCACATCGACGCCCTTCAACGTCGCCTGCTCGTCCACACTCACAAACCCGGTGGCAGGTTGAAATATCTGCGACACATGGCTGACAAATCGCAGCAAGATGTGTGTTGGCGATATCTGCCGCACCTCGGTCCTACATGCAACGAAAGAGCTAAGCCCTCGTCCCGAACAACCCCCGAACTAAATACACACCACGACATGTAGTGCTGCTGATTGTACTGGGGGTCACACACGTAAGCTTCGTCCTCATCGACTCCCCGAGTGACCATGACGAACCGGTTGGCTTCGACGAAGTGGCCTTGGAGCCTGTTCACGAACATGCCTTTGGGCGTGGTCTTGTGAAACAGGCGCGTGTTGGCTGTGATCTCTTCCACCACCTAACCAAACACAAAGGTCAGGTTGACCCTCCATTCGTCCGACTAACTGTCAGTACTTGCCGTTTGGACGGAATTGTACAACTTCGCC